CCAATTTTACTCCTAACATGCTCCCACAGTTTTATATTATTTTTCCTGATATAAGAAGCCCCCATTCTCTCTATATACAGTAATAAATATACAACATTGGACAGGATCACTTCAAATATTTTTGTTTACAAATATCATGAATAATTTTGCCTATAAGGGCATGTTTGGTACATAGTATAAGATAATGCCTGATAGTATAAGACCTGATAGTATAAGGCATGATTGTATAAGACCTGATTAAATTTTAATACTATCCAACGTTTGGCATGGTACTGTATAAGATAATGTATTGTATAAGATAATACTATCCAGTGTTTGGTAATGCACTGTATAATACTAGATAAAAAATAAATATTTTTGACAAAACTACCCTTTAATAAAAAAATTTATATAATTCTTTTAAATATGTCATATGATATTTTTTTATAAAAAGTTTATCGATTAGTATATGAAACGTTTAAGGCCTAGCTTCCTATCTCCCAATATACAAGAGAGTAATGCAGACAACAACCTCATGAGTGCAATAATGCTCTGGTTTCAATCATGAAAGACATAACAACACTCATTATTAAAATATTTGTACCAAACGAGATTGACTTTGAATCTTTGATACCTTATTAGGCAATAGCTGATGAAGATCAACAACGATGTACAACCAACAACATTGAATACATATCAGCTTGAAAGTAGGACAAATACCTCATCATGCTGATTAAAATCTAGTTAAGTTTCACATAATGACACCATAAACCATATCATTTCATTCATGTGGTAGTCGCATAAAGTAGTGACATGAAGTTTCCAATATAAAAGTGCACAACTTGAAGGTACAATTTTTTAAATACAAAAGATAAAATAAAAGACCACATATAGGCTCAATGAGCAACCCAATCATTATACATTTCATTAGCCAATGCATCTCTCCAAGCACTCCACGTTTCACTTGTATCAATGGTGTCTATGTTATCATGTAGCTCTTCATCCACCTCCTCGTCAATAGACATGCTACCTAGCTCTATCTCTAAAGGATCTGTATCCATTTCCCTCCTGATCAAATTGTGCAGTAAGCAACAAGCAATAATAATTCGGTTGTGAGTCTTAACAGGATAAAAACTTGGACTTCTAAGAATTGCCCAACGCATCTTCAACAACCCAAATGTCTTTTCTATGACATTTCTAGCTTGAGCATGTCGCTTATTGAAAACTTCTTGAGGAGTTGCCGGGACATATCCATGTCTCCACTCACTTAGATGGTACCTTGTCCCCCTGTAAGGGGCAAGAAACCCGTCCCCATTAGTATATCCAGCATCAACCAAATAGTAGTATCCTATTTAATAAAACAAGTAAGGTTCATTATATAATTTTCAATTTAATAGAATAAGTAAGGTTCGATATGCCATATATTGTAATAAAATGACTAAATTGAATGTAATTTCACGTTCTTACCTGTTGGAACCTTAAGGCCATTTCTCCTATTAATTGCATCACGTAATACCCTAGCATCTGAAGCTGAACCCTCCCAACCCGGCAACACATATACAAATTTCATGTCTCGTGAGCACACTCCTAACACATTCGTGGCAATTTCACCTTTTCGACTTCTATATCTTGGCTTGTCAGCCTCAGGAACATTAACAGTAATATAAGTTCCATCTAAAGCTCCAAGACAACCCTATAAAACCTTTAACAATTTAATTCACATGAAATAAGTACAAACAATCCAAAATTGAAAAAGAATATAATACATACCTTAAACCATTTCCACCTATCATCAGTGCAATTCTCAGGAACTGGATCCGGTACCTTCAATAAATTTTCTTGCAACCTCAACACAGACTTTAAAACTAAATTGAAGTATCTACTAACAGTTTCCCCTGACCGTTGGAATTTAAACTTGATGACACGATTCTTAGCATGGTGAGCTAATATATGTAAAAACATAGCTACTTGTTCTTCTATTGATACTAACCCATCTTCCTTTAGCTTACCCTCAACACGTACAAGAGAACATAATACTCGAAATGTGTAAGTATTCATTCGGAGTTGTTCTACACAAGCAACATCATCATTTATTAGCCTCCTAATGAATGCTACCCTTGATTCTTCCCTTATCCTTGGTATTTCTCGTTGCCTTAGTAATAATCTCTCACGTCGTCTTTGAGCCGCACAAAACATGCGTAGGTAAGACACAATACATACAATCACTATCTCCAAAAAGGCTTGTTCCTTCATCAACCACATTGACATGATATTAAGGAGCTCAGTTATATCATTAAGCCATCCATTTGGGTCATTTTGCCATCGATTTGGATCAAACCTTTCATTAGGATCCATATCATTCAAATCACAAAAAAAAGATAAGTTTTATCTTTTTCTTGCTACTTCTCCTGCATAAAAAGGAAGCAGAGTAAATAAACAAGATACCATTGTGAGGTAAATTTGAAGCCTGACAAATTCACATGAATAACTTATACTTATATGATGATGGAAGCAGCCTATTACCATAAATCTTATATTTTCCCAATGAATATGATAAGGAGATACAGTAAAAAAATCTACTAGATTTTAAAACCTCAATAAGGACTACAAATGTGTCAATGATGTTATTCTCTACCCTGGTTACATTCGGGTTACATAAATTCTAACAATCATGGATAAACAAGTGCCACAACTTGGTAATTTTGGCCAATCAGATGTACATTTCATATATATATATACAATAGACAATAATTATTGACATTTGAATGCAGCCCACTTTTCTTCCTCCTAGTGCTTATCTTTAGGCCATATCAGTTTGCTGCTTAATGGGCATTGGCAAAAAATTGACTTCTCTAGGGTAGAGTAGGTTCAAATCTATTGGTATATTTATTACATTATCACTAGAATTAACGTTTAAATAATTGGTAATTTCAGATCCCATATACTTAAAGGAAGCTGATTGAAATTCTTTGTCTTCATCATTCCATACACTATAATGAAACTAACCAGCCTACAAAGGAAGCTGATTGAAATTCTTTGTCTTCATCATTCTTTTTTCAAATTTGTCTAAACTTACACAAAAATGCTATAAACTTAACCCATTACCCATCAAAACAACACACAGTTCCTTATTTTTAATTATGAAACCACACATTCTAAGCCAAATACATTTGAAATTTTCTACATCTTAATGGAAAGCTGATTGAATCAACGCCGTTTCATTATTGTGAACTTTATAAACAAATTAGATGAACAAGTAAAACAGAAGGGTACAACTTTTACTAAAGATAAAAACAAAAGAGTCACAATTTTTTTTAAAAGTAATCTTCACCTTCAATTCACATGGAAAAGCTATCACCAAGTCTATCCTTTGAAGATCCAGAATGCGACTTTGTTTGCATAAATGTTTATGCAACATTTGTTATTATTATTATTGGTACATAATGTATCTCAAAACATTCTCAAAATTTAAAATTGACCTTTAACCCCTTTTTATTCACTTCCCCACATCTGGTATGAATGCTAAATTAAAAATGTTCAAGAGAATTCACAAAAAATCACCGTTTCAACTTTAAAAAAAAATAACTCCAAACTCAGTCTAACATGAAAAAGGAAAAATCACCACCAAAGTGCATTTAAAAAAAAAATAAGGTTGAAATTACCACACATAATTTAGAAAAAAAAAAAAAAAAAAACTTAAATTTTGAAGAGAGGAAGAAGGAAAGACCTGGATCATGGGCTTGCCAAGGATTTGAACAAGAGGCTTTCCCTGGAACCGAGAGGAAGCGAATCGGGTATAATACCGACGACCTAGCTTCGAAATTTGTTGAATCGAGTCAGGTAAGCTCAAGCACTGAAAGCTTCATTCAGCTAGGCACAAGACAGAGAAGCGAATAAAGCAACATAGGTTGGGCGAGAAAGAGAGGGAGCAAGGTGAGAAAGTGATCGACGATTGAGAAACTTGTTTGTTTTCGAACAAGGAGATGTAAAAGGTTCGAAGAAGACGAGGGGTAAAAGGGAGATGGGAAGGATTTACCTAATCCATCGTTTTGTTATCAGGGCTAATCCCACATCCCTCTCCCTGATTAACTTATACATCATTTTGATGTATTAAGAACTCCTGATGTATAACCTTATACTATACGATGGTCACACCAAACAACTGAAAACGTCATAATGTATAGTATAAGCTTATACTATCAGGCCTTATACGTCATACCAAACAGGCCCTAATAGTCATTTTCTGCGCTAGTGTTTAGTGGGATGCACATATCTCAAATTTATGAACAGCAGTTTGTTTTACCAGTCGCAACTGGTATTTTTTATAAGGGCTTTAATAGCTCTCCGGTTGCTGCACATCAGAGAATGTGCAGCAACACTTACTTCCACTAGAATTCGGTTTCATATTTATTTATTTTTGTTAATTTCAGGATCTGGCTCCGTATCTTACTATAATATATTTGCTGCAAGTTTTTCCAATCAACAGTGACAGCAGAAATGAGGAACTTTTTTATAAATGGAAAACTTACCCTTTATTTATTCCCCCAATATATTAATATGTATATCGCAATATACAGTTATATTCACATCCAGACGTGAAACAAAATTAACATAAAAAAACCTCTTAAGGCTCTAGCGATTTCTTTGATTTCCCAGTATTATTAGAATAAGGAAATCTCCTTCTAGAATACAGAAGGAAAGAAAATTTCTACTTTTCACATTTGAGGTCATACCAAGAAGCTTCTTGGTAACAATGGTTATGTGGAAACAATTTGGACTTTCGAGGATAGTTCTCACAGGAATTTTCCTTGATGTTGTTGAGGCGTTAGTGCCTGATAATTTTTATCCAAAAGCCAGGAAACACGCTCAAGAGTCTATAGTCTATAAGTTCTTCGTCCCTATGATAATTTTCCGAACATTTCTTGCAAGTTAAGTACTATTGCTAACCTTCTTATAAAGGGTTCACATAGCCTAAATCTATTTAGTTTCTCACTACCTTAAGAAGCTTTAAAACCAGGAATATGGATCCAAAGTTTTTAGATGCAATTAGGAAAAATGACATTACCACATTTTCAAGCCTAGTTAAAGAGAATGAAGGAATCCTCAATCAGAGAACAGCTGATTCCTTCAACACTCCATTACACCTTGCTTCCATGTATGGTTGCACTGAAATGGTGTCTGAGATTGTCGGATTGTGCCCTGACATGATTTCTGCTGAGAATAAAAACATGGAGACTCCAATTCATGAGGCTTGTCGACAAGAGAATGTCAAGGTCTTAATGTTGATGCTAGGAGTCAACCCTACAGCTGCTTGTAAGCTTAATCCAACTTGTAAAAGCGCTTTCTTTTTGGCTTGCAGCCTTGGTCATCTTGACTTGGTGAATCTCTTGCTGAATCTATCTGAGATGGTGGAGCCAGAGGCAGCAGGGTTTGATCAAACTTGTATCCAAATTGCTGTATCAAGAGGGCACACAGGTGAGCATAAGCATAAGAGTTTTCTCCATTAAGTTTTATTTGAGAAATATAAAAACCGTTAATATAACATCATCCAAATTTAAGTTTTTGGGTTGAATTAATTCTTTATATGATATGGGAGTCGACGTGACTAAGTGTCATGAGTTAATAATTAAATATTATGAAGTTTCTTAGCATAATTAAGTCGTCTCACCCAACAGCTTAACCTATTGGATTAAATTGGTTCGTTACAAGTTTGCATGCTTGTTGAACTTTTATTTATAGAATTCACCTTTGCCTTGATTTCAAGTCCAACTAATGAGACTCTTTCTAAGCAAGTAACATTAATCACCTAACAATAAAAAAGGGATGGATTGAAAATTTTGAGTAGTTGAGTTAAGCAATTCCCTAAACTACTGATTTTCCGTGCAGATGTTGTTAGAGAGTTGTTGAATAAGCGGCCAGAGCTTACTCAAGTGATCGAAGATAATGGGAATTCACTATTGCACAATGCTAGTAGTAAAGGACACAGGGAGATTGTATGGATCCTACAAAGACGTGATCCAAACCTTGCTTTACAATACAACAACAATGGTTATACACCATTGCACCTGGCAGTAATGAATGGGAAAGTCTCAATCCTTTACGATTTTGTGTCAAGCTGTGCCACATCATTTCATTATCTCACAAGAGAAGAAGAGACAGTACTTCATTTAGCTGTGAGATACGGATGCTATGATGCTTTGGTATTCTTGGTGGAAGTCTGCAATGGTACCAATCTATTGCACTGTCATGATCGATATGGCAACAGTGTCTTACATCTTGCAGTTACAGGCGGGCGCAATAAGGTGAGGAATTAGTATGAGTTCTGAATATGTTTAATTACCATGTTGAAACCAGGAATATACAACAATAAGTTACATTTTGAATATGAGTTCTGATCGGAGTTTAATCCTTAAATTGAATTTAAGTCAATTAATATACAACAATAAGTTCTAACAAATAATGTATATCCTAGCCAATCATAATTTATAGCCTATTGATTTTGAATGTGAACCCATATGTCTGTAGTTCTTCTTATAGTTTTATGATCATTGCAGATAGCAGAGTTCTTGATCATCAAGACAAAGCTGGATATTAACACTCGGAACAGTGAAGGGAAAACAGCACTTGACATCCTTGACCAGGCTAAGGATAGTGCAGAGAATAGGCAATTACAAGCCACTTTTATCAGAGCTGGTGGTAAAAGAAACTTCCAACCTTCGTCTTGGTCACTGGAAGTAGACAAGGCCAATTCTCTGTCACCTATAGCATCGAAGCTTTCTCTGTCACAAAGGTATATAGCTAACGAAATGGAAGTGCCAAGTGAAATGGTTTCTTATGATTGCACAAGCCCACCAGAAGTTAGCAAAAGCATGGAGTCTAGATCACCTCAGCCTCAAGTAAGTGAGAGATTTGAGAATGGAACCTATAAACCATATTACTTCTCCCCAACCACTTTAGGGAAACACAAGCATCAGAAAAAAAGAAAAACTGAAAATTTAAATCAACTTTACTATACTGAGAGAAATATGTACCATGAGATGCACAAAGAAGCATTACTAAATGCAAGGAACACCATTGTACTAGTTGCAGTTTTGATTGCAACTGTCACTTTTGCAGCTGGCATTAGTCCCCCTGGTGGTGTGTACCAAGAAGGACGAATGGGAGGGAAGTCAATGGTGGGAAAAACAACAGCTTTCAAGGTCTTTGCAATAAGCAACAACATAGCATTGTTCACCTCACTATCTATAGTCATTGTTCTTGTTAGTATCATTCCCTTTAGGAGAAAGCCACAAACGAGACTATTGACGATTGCTCACAAAGTCATGTGGATAGCTGTGGCATTTATGGCAACTGGCTATGTTGCAGCCACATGGGTGATCTTGCCACATAGTAAAGGGATGCAATGGCTATCTGTGGTGCTACTAGCACTAGGTGGTGGCTCTCTGGGGACAATCTTCATTGGTCTTGGTGTGATGCTGGTTGAGCACTGGCTGAGGAAATCCAAGTGGAGAAAGACAAGAAAGGAAAGTGGGGATGGAGCTGCAGACTTGGAAAGGAAAAGTGTAAATTCAGATTTTGAGAGCTCTTATTTACAGGGTTATCATTCATACTGATTCATTTGGCTCCCAAAATGGAAATATTATGTACTTATGTGTAGGGAAAATGTGCATTACTTCCACATCTAGGAAAATGTAAATGATGTATGTTTCCAAATATTTTATTAAACTATTTCACAAGCCAGAATCAGACAGAACAGATTCCAACACAGAAATGAGGGAAATAATATTATACACACACGAGGTAAATCTGGATAAATACACATTAACATCTGCTTCTCGTAAAATTAACCTTGTGCTGAATATTCCTGGAAAGTGGACCTGAAAAAAAAAGAAAAAGAAAAAAAAAAAGAAATCGAATACTTTGACCTACTCTTATCTGTAGTGTCGGAAACATCCTGGGAAGATTATATGATTCCACATTTATAGAAATATAAATAAATAAATTTAGAATACAAAATAATAAAAAAAATTCTTGTATAGTAGCAGTGTTGGATCAAAATTTGAAATTAAGACGATTTATATTAAGATGACATAGAAGTATCTACCTCACAAGATAGTAAGTAACATATTCTCTTTTAACCATTTTGTGGGTGAGAGAATTTATGTGTTTATGGAAAGAGAGTTGCACCCCATGTGAATCCTTTGACCTTACAAGCCTTGAGATGGTTCTATGTATGTGACACAGAACCATTGATTGTTTATCTATACATAGTTCTCGCATATTTTACTTCGTCTTCTCTATGTACATATGATTAGTCAATTCAATTACGATGAACTCCTTTTCGACATGCTTGGCATTGATTAATACACCCCTTAGCAAATCCAGGGAGCTGAAGTAAATCTTAATACCATTATCCTCTATGAAGAGATTTTGCATCAGAAAATAGGCCTCTTGCATCTACTTCTCTGTCTTTTTCCCTTGCTTACTCATTACATAATATTATACGGAGAGATTATAGTTACTGCCTTTTTTTTCTTACTACTTGTTACTACCAAATCTTAACCGTTGATTTCTGTCAATCTAACGGTTATAATTTATTAGAATTAATAATTAATTAATAAACGTGACCAAATAAATTATAACCGTAAGATTGACAAAAATCAACGGTTAAGATTTGGTAGTAACAAGTAGTAAGAAAAAAAGGTAGTAACTATAATCTTTCCCATATTATATTTGATATCAAGTATATCATATAGGGCTATCTCTACTCATAAATTATACGCAAAGGAGGTGAAAAGGAACGCTCCATAAACTAATAAAATGATATGTGTAGGGCTCTAGTTTTTTCCTTTCCTAGTCATCAAATTCATTTGCTAAACGATTTCTTGGTAGATTCTAGAGCTTGAATAATGCACTTTGAATGTTGAATTGTTTAGAGTGGAAAACGCAGTAAACTAATACAATGATTCAACCCAAAAGCAAAAGTTACATGAGAGAAAGTCAAGACATGACCATAAATACAATACAAAAACCATAATTGAAACAGACTGACAGCGAAAAAAAATAGTTAAAATGATAAATACCTAAACAAATCAGATTCTAGAAGCAATCAACTAAGGAAAAACAACTAGTTGTCCATTGTGACCATAACAAGATGTTCAGGGTGCTAACAGCATCATCACACTTGCAAGCGAGGCCAAAGGACACATAAAAATTGGACTAAGCACCATTGAGGCTGAAACCTCTATGGTATAAGAAGGTGAAGAAGCCACTGGGGAGAAACCTTCAGGTGGAAGGGAAATGGAAGGTGGAAATTTTGGAATTGGATGTGGGTGCATCACCTCCACAAGTAATTTTTGCCCGTTGTTGCAGTGATCATCAGTTCCACTGATGAAGTAGAAGGCCCCAGGCCTGTCAAGATTAAGAGTGCTCTTCCCATTGTCAAAGGCAGTGATGGGGTCACTTGAGTCACAATTAAAGTAATCCATTTTCTCCACTGTAAGAACTGAATCATTCTGGTACTCAAAAACTGCATAAACAAGAACAATAATTAACACAGCTTTTTCCCATCCAATAGGGTAGAACTGGTTGCTTCTAAAGATTCTGCCTTGGGCTATTAAGAATCCAAGTTGCAGAACTGAATCTCCAACACAAACTTAGGCATAAAATTCATGCTTAAGTATATTCAAAACTAGTTCAATTGGCATAGAGTTCATTTTATCTCCCCTTTTTTTTTTTTTGGGAAAAATCATATATTAAAATGTAACACAAAAAAAGTGACTAAGGAAAGTTGCACACTCATTGAAACAAAGAGTACATTATGTAAACTGCAACAAAAGCAAATCAGCCAGTTAAAGATCATTCAATTCATCTTTCAAGAGTTAATAGAAAAAAAAAAAGTTTCTTTAAGAGTAGTAAATAACAAGGCATGTGATTGTGAACTGATTCAACAAACTTACCCAGAGAATCTCCAATTTGAAATCTGTTCATTTCAGCCCATTGGATATAAAATTCAGTATTGTTGGGACCAGGTTCATGCCAACCTAAGTGACCACCAACTTTGAATTGCATGGCAGCTTCAACAGAAGTATTCGTGGCAGCAAAGAAAATGATCAGACAAGTACATAGGACTAGGCCTAAAAGGGATGATGCCATGTTGGTGTTCTTTTTCACGCAACAATATTTAGAAGCATAAAATGGTTGTAACACAAAGCCAATTGTAGAGAAGAGTACATATAAATATAAATGACACGTACATATATATATATATATAAAGCACATGAGCTAGTGAGTGGAACAAAATAAGGGGCGTAAGTGGTAGGACATGGCGAGGTTTAGTGGGTAGTTATAGTGATAACGTGTGGGCAGTGATGGCGGTTATACGTTATGACTCAAAGAACAAGAAAATTCATGTTGCTCATTTTGGAATCACCCCGGGAGTGTAGCTAACGTGACTTCATGGGACTGAGTTGAGCTGTAAGGTACTCTGTTTTTTAAATTAAAATCAACATTCTTTTTATTCTACCAAAATAAAAATAAAAATAAAACATAGGGTTTGTTTGAATATGATTTTGTTTTTTATTTTTAAAAACTGATTTGAATATAAATTTTGAAAACTACTTTTGAGAGTAGGAGAATAATAAACCTTGTTTAAATATGGTTGGATTTAAAGTTATAAAGGAGCTATATTTATTTACAAGAATGTCATTAATGAACTTTCATAAATTATAATTACAAGATTGCCATCGTAAAATAATTTAAAACTGAAAATAAATTTGATTTATTTATGAATTAATAAATCTTTTTAATTATAAGATTATCACTGCAAAAACAATAAAATCAAAAAACAATTTTTTAGAACATATCTAAATTTTTCTACTTTCTTAGTTTTAAAAACCAAAAAACAGTTATTGTTTTAGGAATCATTTCACAGAATAATTCTTTTTCAAATAAGTTTTTTGCCTTTTTGTTTTAAAAACTAAAAAACTGTTTTTAGAAATGGAATAACATACCATTTAAAAATAAAAAATAATAATAATAACTACCTAGTTTGTAGCCAACTGCAATTCTGAAAGTAGCGTAATGAAATAAGGCCTTCTACATATTAAACACAAGTGCTAAGCCTAATTTGTCAATAGGTTATTTTTCCCTTCTTTTTTTCATGCTTACTTTATATACAACTCTTCAACATAATAATAAAGGTTAATTAAGATTCATAATCTAATGGTGTTAAAAAATACTAAATAAAATAAACTTAAAAAAAATGTAAGTAAAATAACATATCTCAACTTCAATTATAAGTCAAGCTCAACTAAGTTGTAGTTCGGGTTTGCATCAAAGGTAAAATAGTGACCCAAGCAAATAGAGGGAATAATTTTCACTAACATATGGTGAATTTCAAACTTAATGGAGCGTGAACTAATTAAAAAAAAAAAATTGGCATCCAGATATGTCCCAACCCATTTGAATTAATAAATTTCAATGGCGAAAAACCACACCAAATCACGTGGTTAGGTAATTACTTGTGTATCTAGTTCATTATTATGAAAATAAAAGCGTAATCAGAAGTCCATAGAAATTAGAGGTACTTGAACAAAAGCTCAGGAATGGCCCCGAAAAAGAAAAGATCAGATTGTACATACTCCAGCAAATGCTAACTCCCTGAAAACCCAAAAAAGAATATGTACATACTCCATAGAGGTGTAAGTATAGTAAAGAATATAATACATCAATAATATGCATATAGTTGACATTTCCCAAAATTGGAGGGGTATTTGCCCCTAATTGTTAGGCGTGGCTCCTTAAAGCTGTCTCCTTCCCATTATTAATCAATTCTTGGAATTCTCTACGCTTGGCAACCCGAATGTCATGTAAGCTAGGCGGCATTGGTTTTAGGGAGCCATGCAACTCTACTAGATGAAAGAATTCTTGTTTGGTTAAGCTTTTATTCTCAACAAGTTCAGTCACCACAGCATCCATCAGCGTTCTGTTTTGCTGCAGGATCTGATATGCAAAACAAAGTTGTGACTTTTTATTCAGTAAAGAGCCTTGCAAAAAAAGCAAAACAAAGTTGTGTCTTTTTTATTCAATCAAGGGACACGGTGTTCTTTAGTCCTTCTTTCCACTATTAACATACCTCTTTTGCACGTTCATAACACACGTTGACAATCCGCAATGCTTCCAAATCAATTTCCTGACAATGAAATACCATGAAATCGTAAGTTGGCCAAATGTTGTCATTGCCAAAGTAAAGGCATGTGCGTTATTCTGTTTCTCCATGGTATAGGATGATACATTGTTCCTTTTGGATTACATTTTTAAACTTGTTTTTTTCAAGACAAATTGCCAGGAATTATGGTTTAAACATTATAGTTGCAATTGTAACTGAGGCCAAAGCTGCAAATAAGAAGCATGAGAAAGCAAAACTTGAGACAGAACCCGTACATTAATTCTGTCTGCCACCCAGAAATTGGATATTCCATGATACTTCTCGGAAAGCCCACCTAGAACAAATGTCCTTGCAGCAGACCTAGCATTGTCTGCAGTTTCAGCCCATATCGTACTCAACTGAAATATTGCAAATCAAGTTAAAATATTTCTACATAACCAGTCTAAACAAACCTATACCCACAATCAGATATAAACAAACAATAAGTTCCCATAATCTAAATATTTGACACAGAAAAATTGTGTACACAATGAATGGTATTGATATATGTAAAGAACCAATTCAATCTAAAAGCTTAAATTATTAGGTAAGGGCCTCTTTAATAGTTTATATTATACTCTAACATGTCCCCTCACACTAGAGCCTATTGGGCTTAAAAGGTGGATAATACATCAGGCCCAACTTACCTGTACTAAGAAATTCCACAAGAGAAAATGGGGGGCAGTGAGGATCGAATCCGGGAAACTTGGCTCTGATATCATGTAAGGAACCAATTAAATCCAAAAGCTTAAGCTGCTAGGTGAGGGCCTCTTCAATGGTTTATATTATACTCTATCAATATAAAAAAATGTAATTACAATAAAAAAAAATAGTGAAATAAATTGTAGCATTGGATAAAGAACTTAGAAAAAGCCACTTCTCTGGCAAGCCCATAATTTGAAGTCTGAAAATAGAAAAATAAAAGTCCGTATATTGTTTATGTTGAACTTTCCTTTTCTCTCTAATAGATTTTCCAGACGTGCTAGTAATCACACTCAGAAATACAAAATGTCTCTAGAAAGAGAGTGGATTTTTGGCACAACGGAAGCAGATATTCCTTTACCAAAAATGGAAAAAAGAGGGAAATGAAAGAAAATAATCATCAAGGTAAGGGTAGTATAAAGGATGTACCGAGTCAAGGTTCTTAACATGGTATCAGAGCCTCACCGTCCCCCGCTTTAAAAAGTGGAATTAAAATAAAAAAAAAAAGCACAAAAAGGTAAACAAAAAATGGGCCTGTGCAATTTCCACGCTTCTAGCCTAAAAAGGCTCTTGCGTGAGGGGGCGTGTTGAGATATATAGTCCCACATTGATTGGATGGGCAACTAATATGGCCTTTATAAGGCCTTGGGCACTCCCACCCTTTGAGCTAGCTTTTGGGGTGGTGTATCCCAAGGTTCTTTACATGGTATCAGAGCTTGAGCCCTCACCGCCTCCCGCTTTAAAAAGTGGAATTAAAAAAAAAAAGCACAAAAAGGTAAACCAAAAACTGGGCCTGTGCAATTCCACGCTTCTAGCCCAAAGGGCTCTTGCGTGAGGGGGCGTGTTGAGATATATAGTCCCACATTGATTAGATGGGCAACTAATATGGCCTTTATAAGGCCTTGGGCACTCCCACCCCTTGAGCTAGCTTTTGGGGTGGTGTATCCCAAGGTTCTTTACAGTATTACTGAATATATTTTCCTAGAAAGATCATATTCTTGCCATTCGTCAAGGTTAGTTGATAAATACCTTAAAATATGCATAATGTTAGAAATTGTTCACTGTGCTATTTGTATGTTTTGCAACTTTATTTACATTAAGCTTCACAAATAAAAACTAGAGTGAGGAAATTTGTAGTAAGCAAGTAAAATTCTCTTACCTGACCACTCCCAAACCAAATTTCATCAGCTGCACGGGGAGCTAGTAGAACAGTAATATGATCGAGGAGGGATTGTCGACTGCATGATTAGGAGCTACAAGCTATGAGAAAAACAATATGGGAGGTACTATTCACAGTTTTATAATGCAATTCCATCATGCAGTAACAATTTGAAAGCAAATGAATTATGCTGGCATCATAGAGTCCTTGCAAACATATCATTGATTGATATTGATGTTAGTAATAAAAAGACAAGCATTTCATTTGGAGGGCATTCACCAATAGCTACATATATTTATTAAAAAATGGGAGTAAAGGTTTAAATAAAGAATCCATACGTGAGCATTCCTTCGTTAAATTTGACTGAATCCATCTTCACCCGAACATAACCCAGATCCCTACCAGCTCTAGGAGCAATTGTGACCTACATCAAAGCAACAAAAAGCTAAAACATCACAATCCTTGTTAATAACAATCAGATGATGAAAATTAATAGAAGAACGTAAAGAGAAAATTCCATTTTAATTTGAATAAATCCAATGACAACTGAATTTCAAAAACATATAGAATAAAATGCCAAACTCTCAAGGTCAACTTCCTGAATTGCATGAATGCTAATGTCCAGAGCATTGTGGATGCAAAAAGATAGCCTGATAAACAAGACTACAACCTTGAGTTTTGCATGTCATGCTCCCAGTTGCAGCAACATTCCGTTCAATATAAGAACAGAGTCAATTTATATTTTGGTCTATAGTCTATACAAATTTTTTACATTGTATTTATGCCGTCATATGGCCAGCTTCAGATATCATCCGTGTGTACCAAATTATATGACTCACAAATGGCATGGCACAATCATCATATTAACAAAAATAGGAATGAACAAGGCAGGAAGGGAAACTATATTTTAGGAAAAGGTAGTACAAGTAGATTCTTGGTCAGTTCCCTCATTTTCCCCTCGACTTGGTCTCTTTCAAATTGACTTCAAGCTTAGTTTTTTTTGTAATAAAATAATCTTTGGGAAATTTTTGGCATTTAATATGTACAGGAATAATCAGTTGTAAAAAATTACATGCAGATCAGATTTGCATATGATAACATTTGTGAGAACTAATCAAGAGAATAGGATTTTTTAGGGTCATATACAAATTATACAATACAATTTTAACAGAATTCCTCTCTTCAGAAGTGAGAGAGTATGCCCAACCAAAAAAAAAAAGGATAAAGTGTAATGGCCTTACGAACTCAATATTTTTTAGATCAGGAAAGTTCACAGCCACAACAGCCATTGCAGCTTCATTTATAGCTACTTGTTTCCAAACCTCTCCGCTTCTCTCCTTTCTATCTAGCATTCCTCTTTCTTCCATTTGAGCAGCTTGTAATAAGTCATCAGTAGTAATCTGCAACAATGAAAAGCAGAAATGAATACCACAACTAGTTAATCCCTTTCTTATTGTTTCCTCCTTTGACCTCTTTCTCCTTTCTGTGTACATGAATGCAACTATTCTAACCCACATTAAGAGGCTTCTAATTGTGAAGGCATAGAAACTTCAGGCATCCACTGTCATCCTTTAAGTGTTACAAAGTAAAATGAATAATTCATTCAATAAAACATGCCCTTATAGTCAGATAAACACACCTTTTATTTACACGTTTGATTTTATAAATTTTTAAGGAGATTGGATGTGACATGCCATACAGGATGCAGCAAAGCAGATATCAATTGCCTAAAAGGGTATACCTGAACAATAAATATCCGGCAAAGACAAACTTACTGTATATTAGAGGCATTACCTCAGTCCTTGAGTCCCGCATCATATTGATCGCAGCAACCTCAACTATGTTGGCCAGCTCTGCACCAACCATTCCATCAGTCATACTAGCAACGGCCATATAGTCTATATCTTCAGCCATTGGCTTTCTACGAGCATGGACCTATCACAATATCACCAGGAAAAAGAAAATTTGGAATAGATAAACCAAGTAAGGTGCCATTAGTCACAAACTCACAACTACTAAGTCTTAGGGGACAGGGGATGGACATAAAAAGTATTGCAATGAACATATATTTTATAAATTAAAAAAAAAAAAAAAGTGAATCCTGAATGCTAAAATGTAGGTGAAATTTGGTAGAGCAGCACCTACCTTTAGAATTTCTATGCGACCAATGAGGCCAGGCTTGGGGATAAATATTTTCCGATCAAACCGACCAGGTCTCACAAGTGCTGTATCCAGAATGTCTGGTCGGTTTGTGGATGCAATGGTGATCACCTCACCCCTTCCTTCAAATCCATCTAAGCACACCAGGAGCTGGAGCATTCAGTCAATAGGAAACATCAATCAATATATACACAATTTTACTTTTAAAAAAAAAAAACAGTTAGAAAGTTCACACTGCCATGCTTAACCTGATTAAGAGTAGCATCACGTTCCTGTCCACCCGAACCTTTAATCAAGCCACGCTCCCTTCCTACAGCATCCAGCTCATCAATGAAGACAACAGATGGAGCCTGAAAAATATAATATGAAAATGGTTGCCAATTAGATGCAACCAGTGAAGCCAGAGAAGTGGGTAAATTTCATGTGAAGACAAGAAAATGTAGTATGCTACAAAAGAAAGAACTCCTATCAGCTTGAAGCAAATAAAATAAGGAATAACAGAATTTGTCAAGTTTAGATGATAACTGACAAAAGAAAACTACTATTGGAAACTATGTTGGCCTGAATCAAACTCTTCTAATTTGACTTTAAACAAATAAGAAAAAATGTGAAAGCTCAATGGAAAAGCTAAAAATATCAGTCTTACATACATTTTCCTTGGCTTCTTGGTAGAGTGCTCGGACACGAGAAGCCCCAACACCAACGTAAATTTCCACAAACTGTGAAGCAGAAATAGAGAAGAAATTAACCCCTGCCTCACCAGCCACTGCTTTTGCCAGCAATGTCTTTCCCACTCCAGGGGGGCCACAAAGAAGAATGCCACCTGATTAAGTGACCAATTCAACCTTCAGCAAGTCAAATGTAAAGCACAGTAAAATTGAATGTCTTCCTTTCTTTCTTTTTATTAGATAATTGAAATACTTAGCAACTACATACAAGAAGAAAACCAAATTTTTCTGCAAGCACAATATTGCCAATGTGCTAGAGATAGTTGTGGTTGTGGAAAATTCTCCTTCAAATTTAAACAAAAAAGGTTTCCCTAAGGACTAAGGTAGTTCAAATTATTCTGTTAAATGCTTATCAGAGTTTAGGTAAATGAGACCTGGTATTTTCACTCCCCTCCTTCTGTACATCTCTCCATGAGTAAAGAACTTCACAATCTCCTCAAGTTCAAGCCGTATTTTACCCAGCCCAGCAACATCAGTAAACTTCACATCCACACCTCTCTCCAGATACTGAGGAAGCCTTTTGTTCTGCGCTCTTCGAACACGTGCCCCTGATTTCATAAACTGCTTAGCCATTTTCAAATAAGCATTATCCTCCTCCCCTTTCCCTTGCTCACTCTCATCATCATCGTCATCACCTTCAGCCCCATTCATCTCCTTCTCTAACTCCCTCATCTTCCTCCTCTCATCAGCCTCTGCTTTCTCAATCTTGAGCCTGTCATCATAATCCTTCTTCTGCTTCCTATAACTAAGAACCACAGTCCTATAAAAAATGTAGAAGAAAACCAACCCAAGCGCATTAGCAACATTTGGATTGGTTGCCAAATCAGACCAAACATCAGCCATTCTCATGTATCTATCCCTTGCATCAACCAATGATTCCTGATACTTCCTCTTCCTTATCTCTTTCTTTCTTCTCCTCTCCTCCTCTTTCTGCTGAATCTTCATACTCCTCCTCATCATTTCCCTCTCTTCCCTCAACCTCTTCATTTCCTCTTTCTTCTGTCTCTGCAACTCCATCCTATATTCCCTAAACTCCGCAGCCTTCTTTGATTCCTTCTTTGGTTTCCTATCTGCAAACGAACTCCAAAATTTCACCATCATAGGGGGCATCAAAATCCTCGACAACATAGGAACAGGCAACTCAGGCTTCTTAAGGGGCGGTGTGTAGGTATTCACACACAAAGAATCAACCTTCAACTCATCCCATGAACCCCAAAACTTGCTATCACTCTCAGATGATGGCAACACTGTCCTCAACACTCTAGAATCATCCAAAACCACGAAAACTGCCTCAGCCCTTTGCCTCAAATGCACAGAACTAGGCTTAATTATGTGCTTAAGCTTCCCAGCTCTCTTCAGTTCCACGATTTCACTGTAGGGAAGGCGATCAGATACCACGGGAAGCCCCTGATTCCATGATTTCAGCTCCTCCGGCGATAAGGCTTCGCTCTTTTTCGTGGATGATTTTCTGGGTGCACGTTTCTTCCCCTTGTCGGTGACGGCGGCTGCCAGAGCGGTGGGTTGTGGGAGAGAAGCGGAGATAACGGTGAGGGTTACCGACAGTTTGAGGAAATTGAGGTAGTTGTCCCTGTTTTTTTCCTTGTCATCATTGTCGGGTTCTGGGGTTTGAATTCGCGACGAAATGGAACGGGAATAAGAGGTTTTGGGAAGCCTTGTGAATTTGGGGTTTAGCGATGAGAATGAGAATGAGAATGAGGAAGGAGGATAACGAAGAAGGCAATGGGGAGTCATGGAGTGTTCACTGTTGTGAGAAAAGACACGTTACAGTTGTTTTCTCAGATATGTGTTGGTTAGTGCAGCCATTGATGAAGAAGATTAGAGGGCGCTGAAGACAACTTTTTTTACTTTTTTTTTTAAATGACCATGAACACAACAACAAAGGAATGCTTAGTTCTGTTTAGATAAGTGCCTTTTGTTTTCCTATGTGTTTTTTTTTTTTTTTTTTTTTTACTCTACCAGCATTCGAACCAGCATATTTACCATGAATGCTAGCTACTAGGATGTGTTTGCTACGAGATAAATTTTTTTTGTGTCCGGGAATCATAATATCCAGTAATATACAAAGAAATCCAATTTATCGGGAATGATATAAAAAAGTTGTTTGGTAAACGTAAATATTACCGGGAATATTTAATAATTTTACTGAGTATATGTTTGGTTGTGAGTAAAATATTACTGATAATGTTATCAAAAAAATATATATATATTACTGATAATATATGTTGATTTTACAAAACTAACCTTAACTTTTCAATGACACCAGACTTACTAATTTGATGTGTGTTGGGGGTATTATTGTCTCAAAAATATGTTATATGTTTTTCCTTCCCTCAGTAATCATGAAAATCACCTAATTTTTGGTAATCCAAACAGTAATTTTTCTTTGTAAAATGCTTTACCGGTAAAGCTTGGATACCCAGGAATTGATTTTTGATACTTCTACCAAACATGGGAATCGATGTTTACCAAAAAAAGGTTTATCAGTAATCCTTGTGATACCCTTATGCCAAACACCAACTATGTGTTTTTTTTGCTTATATATGCTTAGTTTTGGACTGATTGAATGCGAAGAAAAATTAAAAAAATGTAATTTAAATAAAAAAATACAAAAATAGAGAGATTAGGCAACTATTTACAAAAATATTGCAACAAGAAATGTATCAAAAATATGGGCAAATTAATTTAAATATTACTTTTTTTAATAATAAATTACGAAAATGTAGTCGTTTCAGAACTATTTACTCAAGTATTTAGCACCCAAACACGTCCACATGGGCGTGAGCTGGAGAAGAGAGACATGTCCATGTGGGACGTTACTGAGGAAAGAGACACATCCACATGGAGCGTGTTTCACCGGATATTGACATGTGGCATAAAAAGTCAACAGTTTATCCGTAAAACTTTGAAAGTTCATAACTTTTGGCTCGAGTGTTCGAATTAAGTAAAAAAAAATTATTTATTTCACATAATTTTTTAAAATCTACGCAATGACACTTCATTTGACATATCTTGTCTCTCAAGAAAAAGAATTAAATTTAGAACAATGATACTATAAGAACGTTTAAACTCATATTAATAAAGAGAAAACCATGTCGTGATTAGAAACATTCATAGTAAAGATCCTTGTGATTATGGTATCATTGTTGCAAATTGAAATTCTTAGCTGCTTTTATTTTTTCTCTTCATAATTTTTATTTTTCTCTATCACGTTAGAGAAAAAAAAATTAGATAAAAAAGGGAAAAAAGAAAGGGGAAAAAATGGTCGTGTTCTTTTTATTCTTATCTTTTATGTGCTTTTGGATATATGCACATGGCGTCATTTACCGTTACCCGCGAAAGGAATATCATCAACTACATACCATAAATCAAAATAGCAACAGATCTTTATGACATTTTATTTGAGGAATTAATAAGATAGTTTTTGATGCGGCCAATAGCTAAAATATTGCTTATTGTAAAATTGAGGGTTCTACTTAAGTGACTAATTATATTCTAGATATCTAGCATTGTCAGTCCAATGCAAAAAAAAAATTCAAAAAAGATTAATTATTTAACTATAAGTGATACTCCTTCGTTCGGGTAGTTTTCTCCTAATTGATGGATACATATTGCGGAGAAAAATGGAGATGCATTTAGAAGCATTAGAAATAGATTAATTAATTAACATGTGTGTGTGTAATATACTATAAAATTTAAAAAATATGCAAAATGGAGCAGAAAGAAGCATTTTTTGGAAAATATTTTTGACAGACTTGCCAACACATTCGTTTCGAAAAGTTATGTGGAATTTGAAGTTTTGTCTCCTATAAATATAATTTCAATTTGCAACAATGGTACCATAATCATAAGAATCTTTTCTCGGAATGTTTATAATCATGACAGTGGTTTTTTCTTTATTAATATGGGTTTAAACGTTTTTATAGTATCATTGTTGTAAATTCAAATTTTTTTTGTGAGAGACAAAATATGTCAAAGGATGTGTCATTGCGTAGATCTCGAAAAACTGTGTGGAATCAAAAAATTACCTAATTCGGACACATGAGTCAAAAGTTATGGACTTCCAAAGTTTTTCGGATAAACTATTGGACTTTTTGTGCCACATGTCAATATATAGTGAAACACGCCCCATGCGTACGTGTTTCTCTCCTCGACCATGCCCCACATGGACATGTCTCTCTCTTCCAGCTCACGCCTCATGTAGGCGTCTTTGGGTGCTATACTTGCATAAATAATTTCAAAATGACTACGTTTTCATAATTTTTTATTAAAAAAGCAATATTTAAATTTTTTTTGCCTCAAAATATGCACAACAAGTTATGCGCACAAAAGAAAGCGCGGTTCACTGCCTATTTGGAAGTTTTTATTTTTAATTTCTCTTCTCCTTATAAACATAAGCTTATCCAAATATAATTTTACAAAAGTTCTTATTATAAAAGGAGCCCGTGGCGGAGCCACATGCTATCTGGGGGTGGCCTCGGCCCGGGCTAAATTTTAACAAATTATACTTATCATGTATAATTATATAATTAATTATAATTTGACGTAGTCTAAAATTGTAATTTAGCCCGAGGTAAAATTTGTAATTTGACTCTATCAAAAGATTAAAATATATTTGGTGAGAGATTTGGGTAAGTTGTATTAAGTTATGTCTTCCATTTTCACTTATATAAAAACAATTGAATTTTTTTTAATAAAATTATAACTTTTTTGATGCTATATGCTTAGGTGTTTTATATTTAATATAATTTAAATATATTATGATATAAACTAACTAAAATTAAGAAAAATAAATACACATATAATTTTTTTGTCCAGGCTCCAATTGGAGCCTGACTCTGCCACTTAAAAGAGTTTTTTTTTATGATGAAGAAAAAAGTTAAGAACTAAAAACTCGTAAGAGAAACTTTTTTAAAAATATACGTAATCTTTTTTTGAATTTTTACATTTATTTTTTATTTATACCATCAATCTAAACTTTTATTTATGAATTTTATCATGTACGGTTATAATTTGCCTTAATAACAAATTATTTTATCTCTCTATAAAATTTGAAGAACAATTTTACACAATTATCAATTAGTTTTTACTTTTTTTCAAAAAAAAAACTTTAACTTGAAAGTAACTTTTAGTTTAAAAAATAAATAAATATCCCAACTAGGTTCTTAGTGTTGTTGTCATGTTGTACCTATTTTGTGTCTCTTCTTCCCATATATTGTGCTCAAATCAATGTGCAACTCACACAACGATGCCACCTCACACCATCCAGTTTAGGGGTGGCAAAAATGAGTAACCCGCACAAAACGAGCCGGGTTGGGTTGGCAAAAATGAGTTGTCAGCTCGATTTAGCCCGACCCGAGCCAACTCGGGCTCAAACGAGCCAGCTCGCAGGTTACTTTTTTTTTTTAATAAAATACAATAAAAAAAACAGTGTAGATGTACATACACGAGTTCAGTGGTCGCAAATATATCCATGGCAACCTAAAATCAACAAAGATCTTCCTTGATGATAATTTCAGTCCTTATGTGTCAGGTTTTGGACTAACTCATCTTTGTTTGGGTACCTCAAGGTCTACCACATTGGCACCAAAACGGCACAGGTCGAACCAATCTAATGTAACCTCTGCAAAGGGTTTAAAGGTTGAAGCTTTCTCTAACTGCTACTTAGCACCTGAGGTGCGCATGGGTGGTGGCAAGTTAACTCAGAAATGTGATGTTTATTCTTTTGGTGTTGTGCTTTTAGAACTTTTGACGGGTAGGGTGCCTGATTTTGGAACATAAAATGATGATGATAAGGTGTTAAGTTTTGTGAGGAAAGCATTCAAGGAGGAACAACCCTTGTCTGAGATTATAGACCCTGCACTTCTGCCTGAGGTTTATGCTAAAAAACAAGTTATTGCTGCTTTTCATGTTGCTCTTAATTGCACTGAACTTGATTCGGAATTGCGACCTAGAATGAAAACCGTGTCCGAGAGCCTCGATCGCATCAAAACACAGTGAAAAAACGAGAGAACCTTGTAAAGTTTTGGTTCTTCTTGTGGCTGACTTTTTTTTTCTTTTTTATATATTATGTTTTGAGTAACCCGTGAGCGTTTTAACGAGCCAATCCTAACCCGGCTCGGGTCGAGCGGGTTGAGTTTTTTGGCTCTTTTTTTTTTCGAGCCAACCCGACCCGACCCGTTTTTTTCGTGCTGAATGCGGGTTGGGTCGGGTCGAGCCAGGTTGGCCCGTTTTGCCAACCCTAATCCAGTTCAACTACCCCTTATCATCCTCAACTCGCAGACCAAGATATTCATCTCTAGAGTGTGATATTGTCATTAGTTGAAAAATAAGTGAGAAATAATGCATGGAATAATGATTTTGATGTTGATTTCATGCTGAGAGTATATGTATATATGGAAAGAAAGAACAAAATATGTATGTAAAATTTTTGTCGATTGTAACTTTTACCATGTAACTTTTTTATTTCATATAACTTTTCTCTAGATATTCATACAAATTGCTCATTGCTCGTTTGTCCAAATTGGGTGGTTTTGCATGTAAAATCAAAATGAAAAGAACGCACAAACAATTACCAATTCATTGTTTGAATATCTCGATATATTAACATGTATAAACGAAGGAATTAACATTTTCCGAGGATATAAAGTTATTTCCTAAAATTTTAAAATGATATCATTTTAAAATTTGAGAAAAAAATATGTTTGAGTATCTTAGAAAATTTTATTATACAAAAGAAATTAAAATTTTCAAAATTCGTTTATTTTTTTTAATTAAACCCTAAAATAACATTGTTTTGGGATTTCATAAACTAATAATCATGTAAAAATTATCATTATTATTTAAATACCAAATTTTATCCATTCACGGCTACTCAAAAAAAAAAAGCAAGTGATACGTAGAAGCAAAGGAGGAGGAAAATAAAATACGAAAACTTCCCCAACCTAATGCAGACCGTCTTCACCATAAGAAAATCTTGACCAACCAAACGCAGTACAAGATTTAATGACATAGTCAAGTGGCTTCTTTTCTATTCTTTTTCTCGGGGCCAACTAATCCAACGCTTTCGAATTGATGCTTTAAAAGTTTTTCTATTCGTATTTCGGGTGTTTTGCATTTTTCTCCGAATGTAGACACTGCTCACTGCTCTATGATCAAGGCGAATAGAACTAAAGCTTCCCACGATGGCTGGAGTTAACTGGAGAACCGTTGACCCTCTAGTGTACCATTCATAAAGTTGCAGACATCATCTCTAATCAGAAACAAATTTTAGGCTTTAGGATCCATTATACATGTCACAAGGTCGAGTCATGGAAAAACAACATTTAATGGTAATTGAACAACACTTTCCAAATTCCGTTGACAGAAGTAACCAGTCAAAAAATTTTGCAACATCCATGTAACCAAAGATCATATAATGTTTCTGTCATCATCTTAGTTCTGCCATTCGTATACTAAGTAACCAGTTAATGATTTCCATACTCAAATTACAGCTCAGCCTCTGTAATTTTAAGTGTCAGAAAAGATTTTTTACCATGAGAGGAGCATCAAAATCTCAAGTACCGTAACAACAATAAAAACCAAAACATTTTCCCATTAGGTGAAATCAACTAGAGGAATCAAACGACATGATCGTGTTCTGTACAAAATCTCAAGTGCCTGGGCAATAGTCAAATTTACATAAAAATTTATCAACCAATATTATATATTATGCTTTCATTTCTCAAAACATATGATCAATAGTCATCCATAAGATTGACATGTTAAGATGCTATTAATTCTGTCAACTGTGATCCAAAGAGTAAACATTCCAACTCAAAATGAACAAGACATGCTGCAACTCTTCAGAGTATATGGGTAGCTGAAACAGTAAATTCGTTGCTTACAATAAAACATAAAGATATAGTTTGATTCACTGGAATAGCTCAGCTAGACTCCAAACATCAAATCCATGATCTTGGACACCAATGATTTTGTTGGGGAAGCAATGGTACCTCCAGTCTGCCTTGCAATTGAGTTGCCATTCTGCAGATAATAAGGTCGAGAAGGAGCTTTCGATGTGCTCGCTTCTGAGATTCTAGCAGAGGTCAGAGGTAGGGGCATGAATCCCGTATTGTTAAGCCTTTCATCCAAAGCTTGGCGTTGCATGGGATCCAAGGGTTTCACGCCAACAATTAGGACCCCATTAATTTGCATTCCATTCTTGTGAAGAGCTTTTTGTGCATCAGATCGATTCTACATCAGCAAAAAAATTAAGTGATGTACAGGCTGAACCAAGTTGGTTGACAAACAGGAACTAAAAAATCACTTTTTGAGAGTAGCAAGGTTTAAAAAAAAAAAAAAAAAAACATCGGAAACATTTTCTGGCATACTGATAAAAGGACAATGATAACAATGTTTAGGCAGTATGTATGGATATTCTTGGATAAGCATACAACTATTGCTTTATAAAGACAACTTTCATGATGTTCAAGCAAGGGAAAGATTGCAAACCTGATACAAAATGTGCATCCAGTTAGCATCTCTAGGACCAGGAACATGCTTCAAAATTTCACCACATTTTTCAAACTCTCTTAAAACCAAATTAGTGTCACCTGGAGAAAATCTGCACATGCATAGAAAGAGCATTGTTAGAAGCATGTATATTGGTATACATAATGTGGAAAATTAGAATTCAAACATGTTTCCGTTTTTATTTCCTATTAATTAGGATTGATTAGGATTGATTATGATTGATTAGAATTAATTGTGATTGATTAGAATTAATTGTGATTAGGATTGTGATAGGATTGATTAGTCATCGCTTAGTCATTCTTAGCGATTCTTTCTTGTATAAATACTCACTCATGTAATTTATTCAATATGAAATATACAAAAACTTCTTTTCAATATGGTATCAGAGCGGGTTCGTTCCTACCCTAATTCAAATCTGAAATAACCATCCAAACACTTCCATCACCGTCAAACACCTCCTAAACACCTCCTTGAATCTGTCCAACACAGAAACCTAGTTTACTGACCTCCGATCAAGAAAGTGAGGTGACCATTCGACTCAGAAGGATCCGACGAGTCGACCGCCGCTGGACCCATCGCCGTCAGCCGCTGCACGCGCCGCCACGCGCCGTCACACGCGCGTCTAGTCTCTGGCGCGTGAGCTCCACGCGCCGCCTTCCAGACGTCTTTTTCCGTCGCGACTTGCACAGACCTTCTCCCCGGCTTCTCCCCTTCCTGTTCCAGAGGTCGGATCAAAAGTTTACAAAACTTGATTTTTCATCAACGGTCAACCCTTCTCTTTTTATTCATGGCTTCCTCAAAACACTCTTCCGCCTCCTCATCTGCCCCAAATTCTCAGTCCTCTGGAGACAACTTAGGTTTGCAGATCACCAATCACCGGTTGAACGGTAAGAATTTTCTGCAATGGTTTCAATCGGTTAAGTTGGTCATCCGGGCAAAGGGTAAGATGGTTGGGAGATTAATAATTCCTTGGTCATGGCTTGGCTGACTAATTCCATGGAACCACAGATTGGCCAAACCTATCTGTTCTTTGATACTGCCAAGGAAATTTGGGATGCTGTTCAACAAAATTACTCTGATCTGGAGAATACCTCTCAAGTTTTTGAACTGAGAAATAAGTTGAGAGACTTTCGTCAAAGGGGTATGACTGTTACTGAATATTTTACTGCACTAACGAATTTATGGCAGGAATTGGATCTTTATTATGCATCTGATCTTAAGGGATTGGAAGCTAATACCCAATTTAAAAAACACTTGGAGAAGGAAAGACTGTATGATTTCCTTGCCGGACTCAACCGAGATCTTGATGAGGTTCGTGGTCGAATATTGGGGCAGCGACCGTTACCTTCACTTGCTGACGCCTTTGCTGAAGTTCGTCGAGAAGCCAGTAGACGGAGAGTTATGCTGGGAGAAAAGGAGTCGCTTGATAAGTCTGATGATATGTCTGCATTAGCTGCCAACCGTACCATTGACCGTTCCTCCGGAGAATCAAAACGGGATGGTCGTCCATTGTGCACCCACTGCAATAAAATTGGTCATACCCGTGAGAAATGTTGGGAAATCCACGGGAAACCTGCAAATTGGAAGCCCAAAGGACAAAATAAAGGTCGTGCATATCAGGTCTCTACTGATGACAAGGTTGATGAGCCTCATGCATCCTCTGACTCTGATGGTGTCTTTCTTAGCAAGACTCAGTTTGAACAACTTCAGAGACTTTTGACTCAACCTCCTAAGGCCACTAGTCATGTGGTCCAGCAAGGTACAGCTTTCCATGTTGATAGTCAAAATCATTGGATCCTTGATTCTGGAGCCTCTGATCATATGACAGGTAATCTTGGCTTGTTTTGTTCATACACTCCATATTCTGAACCTTCTCGGGTCAAGATCGCCGATGGCAGTTTTTCCCAGATTGCAGGACACGGAACCATTAAACTTTCTGAGCTGATTACTTTGACATCAGTTCTTTATGTTCCTTCTCTGACTTGTAATCTCATTTCCATTAGCAAGCTCACCTCTGAGTTGCATTGCTTTGCTAAATTCTTTCCACATGGTTGTGTTTTTCAGGAACAGGACTCGGAGAGGATGATTGGCAGTGCTAGAGAGGATGGTGGACTTTACTACTTTGAGGAGGATGTGACTCATGAAGCTGTTTTCGTAGAAAAAAACTCTATGTTTCCTTTTGATTCATGTAATGATGTTATGCTGTGGCATCGTAGGCTAGGCCATCCAAATTTTATTTATCTTCAGAAGTTGTTGCCAAACTTATTTATTAATAAAAGTCCAAGTTTGTTTTCTTGTGATATTTGTCAACTTGCCAAGCATACTCGTGCTCATTATCCTTCTAAAGTTCACCATGACTCTTCCCCATTTTCCTTAATTCATAGCGACATATGGGGTCCAGCCCGTGTTAAAAATATTTCAGGTACTCGATGGTTCATTACCTTCATTGATGACCATTCTCGAGTTTGTTGGGTGTATCTTCTAAAGGATAAGTCCGATGCTGCATCCGTGTTTAAAAAATTTCATGCCATGGTTCAAACCCAATTCCAAGTTGCTATACAAATTCTTCGTACAGATAATGGCAAAGAGTATTTTAACTCTATTCTTGGAGAATACCTTTCCCAACATGGCATCCTTCACCAAAGCTCGTGTCCTGACACACCCCAACAAAACGGAGTTGCGGAAAGAAAAAACCGACATCTCCTTGAAGTTGCTCGTGCTCTTATGTTTACCACGAGTGTTCCTAAATATCTTTGGGGAGAGGCAGTTCTCACTGCCTCGTATCTGATAAATCGAATGCCATCTCGCATTCTGAAATTTCAGTCTCCTCTTTCTAGTCTTGTTCGTATCTTCCCTTCCTTCCGAGGTGTCTCCTCCTTACCTCTCAAGTTATTTGGTTGTGTTGTATTTGTCCATATTCCCTCCCATCAACGGTCTAAGCTTGATCCTAAGTCTCTCCAGTGTGTCTTTATTGGTTATTCTCCTACTCAACGTGGCTATAAGTGTTATTCACCCTCTCTTCGTAAGGTCTTTGTCTCTATGGATGTCACTTTTTCTGAGAATGACCCTTTCTTCCCCTCGACTTCTCTTCAGGGGGAGTCTATAGGAGTAGATGAAGATCAGTCATGGGAACCTATTAATGCCACAGTATTACCTCTACTTTTGGAAACAGGGGGAGCTACAGAATCCTCACCATCAGAAGCCTCCTCAAAATGGGGACAAGCTTATAGCAGGCGAAAGCCTCCTCAAAGTGTGAATAACCCAGAGCCTCTACACTGCCAGGATTCTGAACCATGTTCTAGTTCCAGCACCCCAATACTTGAGTGTCATGGTGAAAATGATCTACACTTGCCCATTGCTCTCAGAAAAGGTACTCGATCTTGTACTACTCATCCTATTTCTAATCATATTTCATATGGAAAGTTGTCCCCAGGGTTTCGTGCTTTCAATACTATGTTGGATAGTACAAAGATACCGAGAAATATACATGAGGCTCTCAATGATCAAAAATGGAGGGATGCTGTCTTTGAAGAAATGAATGCTTTAGAAAGAAATGGAACTTGGGAGATAGTGACCCTACCCAAAGAAAAAAAGGCAGTAGGATGCAAATGGGTGTTTACAATAAAATTCAATGCAGATAATAGCATCAACAGATACAAGGCAAGATTGGTTGCAAAGGGTTTCACTCAGACTCACGGGATAGATTATCATGAGACTTTTGCTCCGGTTGCTAAAGTCAATACCATCCGAGTTCTCTTATCTCTTGCTGCCAATCTAGATTGGCCTCTGCAACAGTTAGATGTGAAGAATGCATTCCTAAATGGTGACTTACATGAAGAAGTCTATATGGATCCTCCACCTGGTTTTGAAAAGGGAAATGGATCAGTGTGTAAACTAAAAAAGTCTCTATATGGATTGAAACAGTCTCCCAGAGAATGGTTCGACAAATTCACACAAGCAGTCAAAAGAAGAGGCTTCATTCAAGCACAGACTGATCATACTCTCTTCCACAAACACTCTAAGGATGGTAAAATTGCTATTCTTATTGTATATGTAGATGATATAATTCTTACAGGTGATGATATTGAGGAATTGAACACCTTGAAGAAATTTCTAGCAGCTCAATTTGAACTCAAAGACCTTGGCACTCTCAAATATTTCCTTGGTATGGAAGTTGCTAGGAGCAAAACAGGCATCACTCTAACACAAAAGAAATATGTTCTAGATCTTTTGTTGGAAACAGGAATGTTAGGGTGTAAACCTGCTGAGACACCTGTGGAACCTAATACCAAGTTAGGTATTGAAGATGGGAATGAGGTGGATAAAGAACAATATCAGCGATTGGTTGGTAAACTAATCTACTTATCTCATACGCGTCCTGACATTGCCTTTGCGGTGAGTATGATTAGTCAATTCATGCACTCACCCAAGGAGAAGCATCTTAGTGCAGTCTATAGGGTGCTTAGATACCTCAAGAATACTCCAGGAAGAGGATTATTCTTTAAAAAGGGGTATAAAAGGACAATTGAAATCTACACTGATGCAGATTGGGCAGGCTCATCAGTAGACAGGAGATCTACCTCAGGCTATTGCACCTATGTGTGGGGAAATCTTGTTACTTGGAGAAGCAAAAAGCAAACAGTGGTTGCAAGAAGTAGTGCTGAAGCAGAATTTCGAGCTTTAGCTCATGGAGTTTGTGAAGGAATCTGGTTGAGAAGACTTCTTCAAGAGTTGAAGATTTCATATTCCCTACCAATAAAACTATATTGTGACAACAAGGCAGCTGTTAGCATTGCTCAAAATCCTGTACATCATGATCGAACAAAGCACGTGGAAGTTGATCGTCACTTCATCAAAGAAAAATTAGATGATGGAAGTGTGCGTTTGATATATGTTCCAACCAAAGAGCAAACGGCAGATGTCCTTACCAAGGGCCTACACCGTCCAGCATTCGAAGACTTGATTGGCAAGTTGGGAATGATCAATATTTACCTCCCAACTTGAGGGGGAGTGTGGAAAATTAGAATTCAAACATGTTTCCGTTTTTATTTCCTATTAATTAGGATTGATTAGGATTGATTATGATTGATTAGGATTGATTATGATTGATTAGAATTAATTGTGATTGATTAGAATTAATTGTGATTAGGATTGTGATAGGATTGATTAGTCATCGCTTAGTCATTCTTAGCGATTCTTTCTTGTATAAATACTCACTCATGTAATTTATTCAATATGAAATATACAAAAACTTCTTTTCAATACATAAAATAGAAAGTCTATCTTTTTAGTTTATTGATTTCGCATCTCAAGCATAAAGTAGACATTGAAACAGAAAAGCTGCACCTCAGAAACTCCTAAAATACACATCATACTCCCCTTAACTGAACATTGATTGTTAGACAGGCAAGAAAAATGCTTCTATTAATAAATAACTCTGTAGTTGTTAATGGTGCATTTGTATTTTGTAGCAAGACGTGTCATAGAGCTTAAAATAATAATTTATTCAAACCATTCAAGATGACAACAATATCCAAACATGAAAGATGGCATAACTAAAAAAACTAAATTCACATATCTTCAAAAATAACTCATGGAAACTCAATAATCAGTAAAATTCTAATTAAGTTAGTCATTTTCTCTAACAAATTCACACTTTCCTCACTCCTTCCTCCCACGTGGGAACTCCCATAGAGAACTATCCCTTTAGCCACCATACTATCCACATCTTGTTCTGGTGCCTTATGGCCTTCACTCCTATATGCCTATAACATACACATATAGCAATCAATTTGCAGGCATCAAGAGAATTATCAATAGCTCTCTCCAAAAGATATCCAGAAAAAAAAAATTCCAAGATGCAAGAGTTTTTACCCTATTTCAGACTGATTATACCTCCAAATTTTGCCAGTAACTCTCCCTCTTGACTATCACTGGATTTTTCATTTTATCACTAACAATCCTCAGAACTATGACAATAGTATGCCCCAAGCCTCTCCTAAAATCAAGTCCTTTGTTGGGACAGTGGTCAATAATAAAAATTAATACTAATGAAATGTTACAGATTCGCATAGTAGACACTTTATTCCCTACCAATATGTGGGATTGTGCATGATGTGTCATTCTTACTCAAAAATAACTGCACATTTTTTCTTACTTCTTACATTGCCAAGCAGTCTTTTCCATTTGGAATAAGACTTTTTGTGTGCTTTAGGGAACATTACTTTTACTTGAAGTGTTTGAAGCAACTTCTTTTTATTATTTAGGAGTAAGGAAGTAAAACTCTATGGGGTATTTTATTCTCACCTCTTTATCTATTTGACTGCAGTTAAATGTGCTGAATTTGAAGGACAAATGCTTATAAGTAGATTTATAGTAGAATACATTAAGTTCATTCCTCGGCAATAGACGAAAAGTAAATGCTTAAGCAGAGTTAAGAAATTACCCATAAACAGTTACCCATTCTTCCTCATTGAGATTCCCTGCTGGCAAGGAATTTCTTTGAATCTCAGGCCTTGCCACTTCCAGTGGTGGAGGAAGAGTCATCAAAGCCCCAGGCTGAACCACACCCTCAACTGGCGAACCCCTTCCCTTCTCATCTTGTTCACCCCCACTCTTAACAGTTGCAGGTGACCACCAACTCAAACCTGGTGAGCCCTGCTGGTTTTGCTGTACCCCTCTTAAAGCATAAGATGTGCTGGCATCAGATCTGCTTTTCAGCGGAGTTGAAAATTCCCTATTTGAAGTTTGGATTGGAGTTCTAGTGTCTGACTTAGTCTCAGGGGATATTTGGTAATCAGGTATGCCTGATTCAGGAGAAAAGTCTGATCTGTCTTCCAAGGTGTAAACAGGAGGTGGAGGAAGGTCTGAACCACCGAAGTTCTCGCGCCATAGATTAGATACTGCAGCTGCCTGGCCTGGACTAGAAAACTTTCCTCTCCGGGCAGAAACAGGTGAAGCTATATCCTGGAAAAATAATGACTGCCTACCAGATCTTGGAGTTCTTTGCACTGTGGTGCTCATATTGTTTTCTCTATTTCAGGGAATAGAAAAAATATCAACAAACAAAGTCAACGAAACATATGCATCAAAACCAAATTTGCTGAAAGAAGCTAAGAGTCCAATCCTCAGTAGTCAGTATTGAGCAAGGAGTCGATTTAATATGGAGCTAAACCGCCCTACAATTACAAAATAGTTCATGCGGCAGAATATTGGAACATTATAGAACAACCTAGGAAATTCAACTACTAATTTAATTCTGTTTCATTTTCTCCGGCAACCTAAACCTAGGAGAAAGAGATTTAAATAAAATAAAAAAAATACGCACCAAAATAAACAAATAACTAGGCAATCAGCACATAATACAAGTAATTCATCAACAAACAAATTTAAAAATAAAAAATAAAAAAAACGATTAAATTCGTATATAAATAGGCAATCCGCAACTTTAAGACCTCTAGATAAGTTACTCAATATAAGTTGTCCCGGAAACAGTAGTAAATTAGAGAAGAACTGGAAATTTACAAAGAATTCTATTGAACATGTCCCAACTAAAACTCGAAGACGAAGATCGTGCTTGTAAGCTAGGTCGAGCTTTTTATGTAGTCATTTAGAAGCATCCACAATTCGACATCGCATTAAAACTAAAATCGACAACCTAAACAAATTAAAAAAGAGAAAAAAGTTTCCGTTCTGTAAGGAGTTTCTCAGCAACCGAATGATTATGAATCCTTCCTCAGGGTGCATGCTTTTCTGATCTTCCAACAGAATACACTACACACACACACACACACACACACACAGAGAGAGAGAGAGAGAGAGTACCTGGTGGTGGGTGGGAATGTGGGATTGAAGGATGAGGTGTGATAGATTCAGATTCTGAATTTTTGGGGTTTTAGACGTTTCCCTCCCAAACCAAACGCTAAGCGAATAGACCACGCGAAGCGGCCATTGTAATAAGTAATGACAATTCAATTACTCCGATTTAACTTTTTCATTTCGTTAGTATTTCATTTCGAAACCCTAATTCCCCTTTTTCGCTTCTTCTTTTTTTTTTTTTTCGATTTTGAGTTTAACTTTTGATATTCAAAGCTCCACAATTCAATTCATTTTTAATTTAAATTTAACAAGCAGCTTAATTTAAACTTTTAGTATTTATTATATGGATTTATAACTAAGTGGATACATTTTGTCATAGAAACACAAAATGTGGGGCCCACAAGTAGTGGTGGAGTCCCTTGTTATTAGGGATGTTCGCGGTCTGGATTGGATCGATTTTATAAACAAAAATCATCCGATCCAATCCCTTCGGTTTGATCATATAATCATCCATTTGGTTTGATCATTTGAATAGTTCTCAATTTTTACAATCACAAACATTCTCAAAAACACTTTTATTCATCCAACAAGAAAAGAATAGTTAAAATAATTTCGGTGCCTCAATCCTCGTGAAGACGATCTCTACTCATCATTTTATTACTTGGTACGATCGGTGCACTTGCCAATTTTACGCAAGAGTGCATATAACATTCTTTAATCATATAATATCAATAAGCTGTTTCCATATATATTGTGTTAATAAAACATTGATTGAATTTTGGAATTTTGTGATAAATGACTTTTGAATGCAGGCATGCAGGTAGGTCCTTTTTTTTTAATTGAAAATTTCTTATATACTTCAGTGAGATTTATTCAGTATCAATTTTTAATTTTTATTATATCAATTTGGTAAAACATTCATCAATTTTTTCATATGTAATGAAATTTCAAATATTATATTATCGGAACTTATGAGAGTGTCAAAGTGTGTCGTACACCACATTTCAAACGGTGCCACATAGCATATAGTGATCGTAAACTTCATCGATGAAAAAGGTGCCTAATTTACAGTTATAAAATTTCCATACTCAATTAAACTACAAACTAGTCCAACCTAATTATTTACATGATTACAACAATGCACCATGACATTCAAATATTTACAACATATAAACCCTATATATGTTCTTCTAACAAATGTACAAGAGTTTATGCCACATATGCATAGACACTCTCTATGCTCTAGCTCAAAATACATGTCATCATGTTCAATATATATATATATATATATATATATATATATATATATATATATACATCAACAAGCATCTATAGTCTTATGCCATACAAATAGACTCCATCCTGGCCTCCTGCCACATGATGCTCTGATACCATCAGTATTTGCACTTGAAATGTAATCCTCATAACGCGGGGTGAAATAATCATCTCAGTAAACTAGGGGTCATTGGAGGGCTTCTCCACCCCCTAAGTTCACTTTAGGTATAATCACAATATAAAATAATATATGCATCAAAATATGTTATCATGCAAGTGTGCAATAATGAATCATATTGGCCAGAGAACATAACAAGTACGCATTAGCAAGGAAAAGCCTCCTTGCAACATACCAAGCATAAGTAAAGTCGTCTTATACTACACACAATAAACATACCCTGCACAATGAAAGTTGTCTTATGCTGTACGAGCCATGAGGAAAGCCGTCTCATGCAACGTACAAGAAAGGCGTGCCCCATACAAGGAAAGCCATCTTGTGTGACTCACAAATATTCATACATATACATGCATCACATAACAGTTCATTTTTAACATACCATATCAAAGAATCATCCTCCCTTGGAGTGTGGTGGAACAAATGAGGGATTAACTTTAGGGGTATTCGCGGTCTGGATTAGATCGGTTTGATCATGTAATCATCCATTCAGTTTGGATTTTTTTCAAATCCGATCTTGGATCAGATCAGTTTTCCATTTGTTGAAAATCCTAAAATTTGTTTCATAATCATCCAGATAGTTTGGATTTTTTTCAAATTCGATCTTGGATTGGATCATGTAATCCTCTAATGGGCCTATATTTTATCCAGATCAGTATGCATGCTTTTTTTTCTAATTTAACAGCCATTGCGTGAGTAGATTTAACAGTTAAATAAATGGGAAAAACTAGTATTATGCTACATGTGGTAAATTTCTCTCCTACACACCATTCGATAACTGTGCCACCTTTTTATTTTTTTATTTTTCAGGTGGTGGAGCCCACAAGTTTATCTCTATGACATGAGATAATTTATCTCCTTTAACATGAGATTAATAAAACCCTAAATAAATATGAACAAACAATTTTGGTTACATAACTCGTTAGTTTTAAACGTAGTCGTGTTTCAATATTTTTAAAGGGGAATCTGATTAGCTACCCCCACAATGTATACTCATACTAACTTTTTAATTATATATCATTTTTTGAAATTTGTAATGCAAAATATTACTTTATAAAATGCGAATAAATTTATCTCTGTACTATTTTTTTTTTTAATTTCTAGAGTAAATTATCACCCAAGGTAAGACAGGGCAATCCTTTCAATTCAAGAAAAGGTTAGCTGCATATAACATTCTTTAATCATATAATATCAATAAGCTTTTTCCATATATATTGTGTTAATAAAACATTGATTGAATTTTGGAATTTTGTGATAAATGACTTTTGACTTAAAAGGATGCCGGCGTGCAGGCAGGTCTTTTTTTTTTTTAAATTGAAATTTTTTTATCTACTCCAGTGAAATTTATTCGGTATCAATTTTTAATTTTTATTATATCAATTTGGTAAAACATTCATCAATTTTTTCATATATAATGAAATTTCAAATACTATATTATCGAAACTTACCAGAGTGTCAAACTATGTGGTACACCACATTTCACACGGTACCACATACCATATAGTTATCGTAAACTTCATCGATGAAAAATTTCTTATGTGGGCTGAAATTGTGATTGAAATTTATGGACCTATAATGTTAAAAGTACTTGAGGTTAATGTAGCGAGCAATGGCCCAAACTACAAAAACCTCGCAGTAGCAACTAAAAAGCTCAAAGGCAAATGCTGCTAAATTTTTTCAGGCAAATGTACAAGTGAAAAATCTTCCGCTGGGTCATTTTTTTTTTTTTTTTTAAAGAAAAAATGCTAGGCTAGGTCATACCTCAACAGCAGCAGCTAAAGAAGCATCTTCTTGTATTAAAAAAAAAAGCATCTTCAGCTAGGTCCAAATATCTTTAACCTAAGTTACAAATTACACAAATATAAAGATGAAAAGGAGCAAGGTCATCATCACAGTGGAAACCACTTGGCAAATTGCATATATTGAGAATGTGAATAATTGTCATTACTACATCAATTATAGGCATTAAAAGAATTACAAGTCCCAATCAATTAAACCGGAACCACAAGCATTAACTAACCGGAAGAATACAAGTCAAAATTACTGCAAGATTAATGTAAACAAAGACTTACAAAACCAAGAACTCAACCACAAAGAATTCTAAAATTATTTCCCAAAGAGTCAACGGAAATCGAAAAAGAAAAAAAAAAAAATGAAAGAAGATTATAGTCCCAAGTCAACAGGACAAAAAAAAAACTCATTGGGAAACCCCACTTACGGGTTCTTCTTCTCCATAGCCAATACTCTTTCATAGAGCTCATCCATTCGTTCCTCCATTTCCACTGCGGCAACGGAGAGACACAACAGTGGCTGAACCAGTGACGGCAGCTCTGCTTCTTTGTCTGGGGCCGATTTTGGTTCGGAGATTTCTGGGGCAGATTTTGGTTTGGAGGTGCCCAAAGATCAGGTATCTTTAATTTCGGACGGGTCGGTGGAGCCGGTTGCTCGTCTTTGGGCGCCACCGGCTTGTCTTTGGGGCTCCTCGGCTTCGCTTGGTAGCAGTGGCGGAACCAGGATTTAATACTAGCTAGACCAAAAAATTTGACATATCAAATTATTGAAAAACTTTCATAATTACACAAATCTATTAGGAAAATTTTTTACTTTCAAAGTATTAAGATCGATGTTATTTTAACAAATAATAGTTATTTATTTAAAATTTAGAATATAATATAAAATAAAATTAGTAAAGAAAGTACAAATTATATATATATATATATATATGAAATTTTCATATGATTTTTATACACATTTTCATGTGATCTTTGATAACATTATTTCATGTGATGTTAATGAAAGCTTATTTCATGTGATGTTAATGAAAATTGATTTCATGTGGTCTTTGTGAATAAAATTTTTAATTTATATTTTAATTTGATTTGGGCCTACAAACTTTAGTTTGCAACTTGGTAGGTCTTACAAGTCCTATTCGGTTTTTTTAGTTTTTTATAATATGGCAGGCCATAAATCAAGTATTTAATAGGCTAATAGGTCAGTATAGGTTTCAAATATTTTACATAGACTTAGGCTATCAAAGCCAAAGTTTGGCTTAACTTGGCCCATTTATACCCCTAGTCGTGACCTGTGAAGAACATTAACATAGAGGGACAACAAACTTCACAATTAAAAGGAAACATGGAATAATCGTACAAATGTCTAAAATCATTTAAATGATATTGAATCCACATAAATCATTTAATTAGTGTTTAGATATTTTAAAAAATTTAAAAATACAAAAAAAGAAGAAGTTGTTAATGAATATGTATAAGAAATTTTCATACTCCATATATATACATATATCTTTATTGATTTTTCTCTTTAACAGTTTCTACTAATTAATAATCAAAATTCACATTTTTATTGTGAAATAAAATACAAATAACATCGATTACCAAAATAAAAAAAATACAAATAACATCAATAAACAATTCAATTCCATTATTAATAGCAACTGTAGCTCTATATTAAAATATATATTTTTTTTAAAAGGTAAACGTAAAATAACACTCAATTTTTTCAAAAGAAATAAAATCAATAACTAACACCACAAAAAAAAAATTGTTAATAAAATAAAGGGGGCATGAATTTCACTCATGTTATAAACACCCAATAGGTCAACTAATCATTTTTGTGATTAAGTTTAGAAGTCTTTCTTTTTTAAAATAATAGGAGTAAGAATAAATAATATAACTGATTAAAATAAAGTAGAAACAAAATATATACATGATAAAAAATAAAAATAAAAAGACAAAACACAAAAATAACCATACTATACATGTTCCTTATTATTTGTTTGCATTTAGATGATTTGTTGTAAAAGTTGTAAATTTTTTTGGTGATAAGTATATCCTTCTTCATTTATACTTAGAAGATGCTAAATTATAATTTTTACCTTAATTAATTATATAATAAATAAATATAAAAAAACAAACAGGTGCCAAGTCACCTGCTGGCTTGGATGTGGCTACGCCACCACTGCTTGGTAGTGTTTTCCATTGGATTCTGACTTTGCATAAAGAACAAGAAGGGAATTTTTTTAGCAATATACACTATTTTGTTTGTTCCCTCAGCTATTCTTATAGGAACATATTAAGAGAATAAATCAAGAGGAAGAAAAGAAGAGTGCGAGGAGGACCTAATCGAGGTAAAGATCTCTACCAATATTACCCGCTCTTTTAAAAAAATATATATAACAACAAAACATAAATTATAGCGTGCAACATTGGGTTCTGACTTAATAATTAATTAATAATCACTATATATTAAATTTAATTATTACTAATTAAATTACAACTCATTAATAATTATATTAATTACTAATTATAAAGGAATTATTAATTGAATTAGTATTCATAAATTACTATTCACTGATTACTCAGAAGGATAATGGACTCTTGGCCACAACAAAGGTAAAACGAAAACAAAATAAGAAACATGGAAAAACTCAAAGCAAATAACAAGTTTTAGTTGACCATGAAAATGTTCACATCGCTTACCAACGAATGGTGGCAGATTACACCTCCAATCTGATTTCCAGTACGACAGTGAGTCCACATTTGCTTTACGTTTCGTCTGTGTGTTGACCGACCGGGAGAGAGAGAGAGCGAGTTGAAACTCACAACCACCGTGCAAAGAGATGACCGCTGACTACGATTGGAAAGAGAGCTGAGGGCAAATGGACGATGAAACATAAAAAAACGATATTGAAAATCAGAGAAAGAGAGACTTGATAAGTGAACGATGAAGACAAAAAAGGAGGTTGAATATTAAAAAAAACGAAGGTTAATTTTGTAACTTCCGTTAATATTCTTATTAATATTTTATAATCAATCAAACATAAGAATAATCTAATTCTCGGAAATATTTTTATCTATCAAATAATTTTTTGATAACATTTTTAGAAAACTTACTTTCCCATCATATTTTTAGAAATTACGATTCCCACATAAATTTTTTTTCTCTACCGAACGTTCCTGAATGCTCTCTTTCTTCGTGAGCAATCTCTGAAGGTGTCCTTGTCCTCTCTGAAGGGCAAACACGCTTTCCAAGTCTCATTTGATTGGCAAGCTTGACTAAATCACTAGGTTTTTCCTGCCACATAGAGCAGTGCTTTGAGCCAACAAGAAGAGACTCTATTCTCTATTCTAGTGTTTCCACATAGTGCTATAAACAACAAGAAGAGCAGTGCTTTGAGCCAAGCATTACAGAAATTCTAAGTACTATAATTCAGTATTCTAGTGTAAAAATCCATAGAGCTTCTATTCTCTTGGTCATCCTTGGCTAGCAGAACATGAATGGGACTCTTTGAAAAGCCTATAATATTACATTTATGTAAGCTTTTTTTATATATTTATCTTTCACAACAAGCTTCGATTGATATATGCAGAGTGGTCCTGGAGTTTTTAGTTAAAACTATTAGATTCGTTAGATTACATTATCAATTTTATTGAGTTTAATATAAATATTTGAGATATTTTATATTTTTTTGTAAAATTGATAAGTATTATAAGTTTGGCTTTATTTTTATTAAATGATTGAACATTAAATATAATATACATTAGATAAATTAAAAATATTATTTAATATCAAAATATGTGTTAACATGTTAAAATCTAACATTTTTTAGAATTAACGTGTCAGAATATCATGTCGTATTCCTTATCTTGTGTCGGTGCAACACTAGTGGCAGCGGCAATCACAACATGGGATGTGAGATAATTGGGGTTTTGGTAAATTTGATTTTTGAATTTTTTTTAACTTTCATCTTTTTTAGAAGCTATAAATTTTAGTTTAAAAAAATAGCAGGGTTTTATTTTTATTTTTTTGATTTATTTTTTAAAAGCAAATATCCAAACATTAGTTTGTAGGGAAAAAAATATCATTATTTTAATAAAAATTACGAAAACATAATTATTTTAAACTAATTTACGAATATATTGCTTGTTAGTCTTAATTTCTACATAATTTAGTGGTAAGTTTCTTATGTTTTATGAGCTGAATGGTGTCAGAATGCACATAAAAGTGGGCCAAACTTAAAGGAGTAAGCCTAAGATGGTAAAAAGAAGTAAAAAAAAAAAGAATTTTGACTTTTCACTAATATTTTTCACATTGTAATGCAGAAAAGGACACATGGCTGATAAAAGAAGAAAGATGAGATGAGATGGCAAAGTGAGGACCATTGGATGCCTCTTTTGATCTGATGGATAGCAAAAATTTGAAGCTTTGGCTTAAGTACAAGTCTCTGTTTTGTAATAAAAGGAGTGGAACTCATACTTTAAAAGGGGAGAAGATTTTCGTTGAAAAAAAGAACTTAGTTTTTCGTTGTAATTCTGGTTTTCATACTTGGAGCGCTTTAGTTTTCTTTGAGTTTTTCTTGGAGATACATGAGTGCAGGACCTCATTCTTGAAGGGATTCAAGAGGAGATTTCTGCATGCAAGCCTTTTGGATCCGTAGCATCATACTTTAGTTTCTCGTAATTTTACAATCTGAATTTGTGAAGAACCATATTGGTCTGTACCTTCAACTTTTTACTATTTCATTTCTTTGTGAATGAATATCATGTTTACTGTCATTTCAGATTTCATTTTAGCTTTAATCTTCAACATGCATTGCTAAATCCTTTATTTAGAATTCTGATGAAAATGACAAGTACCCATTAACTGATTCAAATTGCAATGCATGTTCTTGATGTTTGATTAGTGAAAATTATTTGGTTTGAGTTCATGGAAATGGGCTTAAAGATTCTTGCATGAACTTATATTGGAAAATTGAGTTTATGCATTTCATTAATTCAAGATTTTAAGGTTAGGAATAATCTCGGAAAGAATTTGATTATAAGTCATCAATGAACTAATTTAAGATTAAGAGATTAATTTGAATCATTTTAGAACTGAATTTGAGAAAGTTTAGTTAAGTTCTACAAAAAGTTAGATTCCATCAAGTTAGATGCTACAGCAGTTAAAACGCACGCATGCATTTTATAAGAGAAAGTCATTGAAATCAAAATTCTAGATTTTTAATCTTGATTATAAACTCATTTAAACTTGTTCTTACTATTCTTACTTTAGTTTGCATTTTAGAAAATATAATTTTCCTTGAAAAAGCCATTACATTCACATTTAAAAAAATAAGAAAAAATAACCGAAAGAAATTAAATTTTCCATTTTTATAGAGAACGATACTTGAATTCTTTTTGAATTCTATTCTTTTTAAAAATAACCAAATAACATTGCACTCAATCACCCTCCAAAATGTGACCACTTACTTATGCCTAAAAAAAGCACGAACTCCTCTGCAAGAACACGCTTAAATAAGAGGTTCACTCATGTTTAATGTAGGCATGATCTTTACCTCATTCATGGCTAGAAAAGGTGTGACTTGGTATAGTTATACCTTTTTTTAAGAATTATCTATCAAAATTAAAAAAACAAATCCCACTAATTAAGAATTAAAAATAAAAAAAAAGTATTCATAGTGTTTTGTAAAAAATAAAGTATTTATTTATTTATATAAGCCCATTTGGAGAGGTACAAGAAAACCCTAGCCGCTTCTTCCCTTCCCTCAAGGTGAGAGTTTGCTTGCTTGCTTGTATCTCCTTTTCTCCTTTCCTCGTCTCACAGTAGCAGTTGGAGTTGGAAGAATGGGAAGGGTTCGCACGAAGACGGTGAAGAAGTCGTCAAGGCAAGTGATAGAGAGGTACTACTCTCGTATGACGCTGGACTTCCACACCAACAAGAAGATCCTCGAGGAGGTTGCTCTCATACCCTCGAAGAGGCTTCGCAACAAGATCGCAGGTTTCTCTACCCACTTGATGAAAAGGATCCAGAAGGGACCAGTGCGTGGCATCTCCCTCAAGCTCCAAGAGGAGGAGCGTGAGCGCCGCATGGACTTCGTCCCCGATGAATCAGCCATCAAGACCGACCATGTCGAGGTCGACAAGGAGACACTCGACATGCTCGCCGCCCTCGGAATGTCCGATATCCCAGGAATCGTCCAGGTCGACCCTGTCCCTGTCCAGCAGCAGTTTACATTTGGTCGCTCTGCCCCTCCCAGGAGATTTTAATTTTAATTTCAATTTCAATTTCAATTTCAATTTCTGCAATAATAGAGCTTCGGATTATTAAATGGAATTTATTTTGTTTTGCTTTCCATAATTTCAATATGTGATTGTGCTGGTGTTGAATTTCAGATGAAAATTAATTAACTATGTTTTTATTTTTTGTTTAACCCTTTTTAGCATGTTGATTGCCTCATGATCTTTGTGGTTTGGGATTTATTATAGAGACACGCACACACTCTGTTTGTGATTACTCCTCGTGTTGGTTTTGGTTTCCTTAGCGTCTGGAATTTGCAGTTTCCTTGTTGTTCAATCTTTATTGGCTTTCTCTGTTGTTGTAAATTCAATTTATGGCAATTGATTGGCTACCTTAGACTATGAAATGTTCTTTTTGTTTGGATGGAGTAAGAAGTGATTTTAATCTTATTTGGATCATCATGACATTGTCAGTTGAAAGTTCAGACCTTATGATTATTTACATTTTAGTCCATTGCCTGTTATGGACTCATTCTTACTCTCTTAAAAGATTTTGCCTGTCCAGTTCTTCTTGTCTGTTACCTCTCTGTCGTGGGCACTGCACAGCAACATCTCCAAAGCATTGGTGACCTCCAGAGAATAGAACCACAAAACACTTATTAAACAACTAAATCATATCATTTTAGATACGTCCAAAATGCAGCACTTACAGCTAAACTAACCTTACCAGCCACCTTCATCCTGTTTACGGTCCGCAACTGATATCCTACTTCACACGGAGTTGAGTCCATGGACCACTGTCCACAACAGCTGTGTCTTTGAAGTGTTGCCAATGGGTGGCCTTTCTTTCCTGTTCTCGCAGTCAAATAGGGTGTTAGGCGAATCATGAGGTATCTTTGCGGCATATTGCCCCAAGGACTTCGCCTGGGCAAATCTTCCTATATGGGATTTGTGATGCTAATTAGGGATCTGATATTGATGATAGGAGGTCAACCATAGGCTTCTCACGTCTGTGTATTTCTTGGTTCCAACCATGTGTTTTGGGATATAGATTTTCAGTATTTTTTGTATTGCGTACTTCACCAATTTAAATTAGGAACACATCACTCAACTTTACCACACATCTTCATTTTTAATGTAAATTGAGTCTATGTATATTAATTTAGGTAGTGGACTGGAGTATATACTATAAGAATACTAAAATTTACTCGGTCTTTTGAACTCCCATGAAGTAGATACCGAAGCCTAGCTGCGGTTGTTACTGAATTGACTAGATCAAATCTCTGCTAAGGGGAATTGCAGCTTTTGTTTCTTCTCCTTCTATTGTGTACTGTGACAACCTGCTGTACTATTTGCTGCTAACCCTATCGGACCAAGAACTTTGAGCTTGATCTCAATTGGTAGAGAATAAGTTGTGGCTAAGCAGATTGCCGTTCATTATTATATTCCATCTCATGACCAAGTTGCCCATGTCCTTACAAAGACTATCTCTGTTTCTCAGTTTCATATAGAGGTCCAAACTCAGTTGAATCCTTCACCTCTATATTTGTGGGATTGAAAGGACAGCAGAATTAGTTTTGGCGTTGGTTAATGAAATTAAGCGTGTTGGATCGTGGTTAGCTGTGCCCTGAAGTCTGTACACACACACACACATGCTGTACATGATCATTTTGAATAAAGTCATCACATTTCTTTCTGATATCTCTCCCTTTTTCCTTCACTTTCTTTCCTTTTCTCTCATTTTTTACCCTGATGAAGGGGCAAAGCATAAGTGTGACCCACGGTAAGTATCTTTGTAGTATAGTGATTTGCAAGTTGGAATCAACAATCAAATTATGCATTCAGGAATCAGGATCCAGGAAAGCCCAATACAGAAGCTCTATTTTTTTGTTCATTTAACCTTTTTCTTTTGGACATTAAGCTTCAGTTCGGTTTGAGAGAAGATGAGAGGAAAGAAAATAGGAACTTTTGGTACTTCATTTCGTCCAGATACCAAGAGAAAACTGGGAAGAGAGCAAAAGCAAATTACAATAGGACCCAGATAATGGTTTTCTTCTCACCCGTGGATGGAATTTGCAAATTTTTCATTCTCTACCGTATAGTTGTCATCACCTTTTGATTAAAGATGCGATGGGTGTGGCTGGCTACCCCTAGATAGGGCTGTGTTTAGCTGTTTGGTTTGTTGTTTGATTGAACTCAACCTAATTAGATTTATGTAAACTACTAAAGCATTGTTAGGCCAATCACATGTATATCGCATGAGGCATGAACTGTGCCAATTACTCAAGGGTAGAATTCATAAAGTCCTTAGCGGAGGCCCCAAAACTTTAGACCTCATAATTTAATATTTTATATTTTTGTTGTATTTACTCATAAAAATTAAGGTCCTTAAATAATCTAACTTAGTATTTCATAAATTTCATTATCTCTTATTTATATTAATTAGTAAACTATAGCATAACTATTTTCTCATAACCTTTATTTTATACGTATTGAACTATCATTCAAAGAGTTAATTAGTTACATTTTTATTTCTCATTTTAATTAGATAGCAATAATTATTTTTAGAGAGAGGTTATATTTACAATTTATTTTCTCTTATAATCACTTTTATGGTTGTTGGATCAAAATCAAATCAACGGTTATAAAATAACATTAAGTGATAACCGTTAATTTGATTTTGATCTAATAACCATAAAAATAGTTATAAGAGATTGTATGGGAAAAGAGGTTATAAGTATAACTTTTATATTTTTTTATTTATAAATTAAATATTTCACTTAATTTTCTTGGTTGATGATCTTTTAAATAACAAATAAATGAAAAGAATATTGACATAATTCAAAATGTCACTTAAATTATAATAGTTACTTTAACATTGATGGTTTATATTTAGTTTTATAATTGGGAAAGTAAAAAGAAATGGTACAAATACCATAATCTACATAATCAATTATATAAAAACTTATTAATTTTTTCCCCCAAATGTGTATATTACTATATGATTCTTGTTAGTGTTGCTTTGAATCAATTTTTTTTAAAAAAAAGCTACTTAAAATTAATAATTTTAAGGAAAGACAAAATAAACAAGTTATATTATTAATTAAAAAATATTTGACAAAACAAAAATTAAACATCTCGTATTGAAGTTTGACTTTCTCCGTCAATTTTTTTAAAACAAAAGTTATATTTTTTTATTAGGTTGGCTTTTCCTGTCCAATTTTCTTTAGCCGTAGTGGGCATAGACCAATGGTTAATTTAATAAAGAATAAAATGAAAAGTAGAATAGATGACGTATGATTGCAACAGTATGTAGCACAGATCCTTCATTCATTTGGTCAAAATATGTGACGAAATGGACGGATATGAACCCCGGCGTGAGAACAATGTCAGCGCCCTCGACGCCTTCCAATAATTGCTTTTCATTTATTTAATTTTTCTTACCAAGAAATATACTATATATTGAGATAATAATTTTAAACAATATTTATGCTGTTAAGTTTATTTTTAAATTATATAATGTTATTAATATAGTTTATAAATTCATATAACATTTTTTTTTTTGTAAATAATTCATATAACATTTAGGGTGTGCATTACAATCATTCTATTCCCTAATTCTTTTCTATTTCTGTGTCATGGAACAGTTTTTGAGAAAAAAGATGTGTTTGATAACATGTTCTATTTTTATTCTGAGAATGAGAATTGTGTTTGATAACACAACAAATAATATAATAAAAAATAATTCCTATTAAATATAAAAAAAAATCCAAATCATCACTTTCCTTTCCACATGGTATGGTTGTGGTAGTGGCAGCGACGGAGGTACGGTAGAGGTGGTGGCAGTGATGTGGTGAAGATAATGGTGGTGGTTGTGACGGCAGTGGATGCGACGATGGAGGTGGTAATGGTGGCGGAGGCGGTGGTAGTGGTGGGGATGGTGGTGGTGGAGGTGACGACAGTGGTTGCGACAATGGTAGTGGGTATGGTGGTTGGTGGCGGCAACAATGGTAGCAGTGACATGGTGGTGGTGGTTGTGAAGGCATCATGGTGGTGGTGGTGACAGTGGCGGTGGTGGTAGGTGACAGTGGTGGTAGTGGTGGCAATAACGTGGTGATGGTAGTGGCGGGGGTGGTGTAATGGTGGCGATGGTGGTGGTGGTGACGGTAAGGGCTGTGACGATGGTGGTGGTGGTTAGTGGAGGCGGCAACGACGACGGTGGTGGTGACAGCAGTGGCTGCGAAAATAGTAGTGGTGATTGGTGACGTGGTGGTGGTAGTGATGGCGATGAGGGTGGTGACAGTGGCGTGTTATGGCGATGGTGGCGGTGACGGTAGTGGTTGCGATGATGGTGGTGGTGGTTGATGGCGGTAGTGGTGATGGTGGTGGCGGTGGTGGTGGTGGCGGCGGCGGCGGTAGTTGTGGTGGTGGTGACGACGACACTAGTGGTACGATACGAAAAGTGATTGAAAGGGTTAAGTGTTTTCTCATTTTGTGCTCGGGAACAAAAAAAACAGAATTTTTTTGATTCTTTTTTCTATTTCCCAGCCCAAAAATTAAACCGGTTTATCCCGGGAACAAAAAAATAAACCGATTTTACCAAACGAGTTTCCTATCCATTTCTGTTTCGAGAACAGAAATTAAAAAAAAATTGATTTCGAGAAAGTTGTCATGCACACCCTTAATGTTTTCGTACATTATGAGATTGAAGGCAAAATGGAATAGAGGGTGTTAGACTCAGCATAATTTTAAACTTCATATTTGATAGAAGGAGTTTACTAGAGCCCAAATATCTCAAGAGATTGGACACCCACTCATCATGCAGCTGCCATACACATTAATTAAGCTTCGTGGCTTCAACTTCTAGACACACCATCGAATCTCTTGGAGAGATATTTGAATCCTTTGAACCACTTTTACCCAATGCTGCTTCTTTTCTACATCAGGATGCTTTTAGGTTAAAAAAAAAATCATATAGTTATCTGAAGAATCATGGTTATATAAAGGTGGATCCATGATAATAAAAGAAGAGAGTAAAAAAATATTAAAATAGATAATTACAAAATCACAATCATCGATTTACCTTTATATGATTGTGATTTTCTCACATGAACCTGTCATATTTTTTTTTTTCCCACGTGAGCATTTCCTTCCTATATAATACAATGTGTTATTAAGCCAACGCGAGGACCACTAAGAAGGCGTTACCAGAGCTCTGATGAGCGAATAAATCTTTGGTGCTATTGTTACACCTAAAATTCAGTGCATCTTACTAATGAGAACATTACACATCAGTCAAAGTTGTTTGTCTTCTGCAAAATGTTTTCTCTCTCCTCTGATGTGTAATGCTTTCATTAGTAAGATGCACTGAATCTAGGTGCAACAGTAGCATTAAAGCGTTATTCCTAATGTGCAACCTAAGGAAAGGAATGAAGTCCACGAGGATGCCTAAATGTACCAAAGTTCACCAAGGAGCATGGTGAAGCAACGGAAAAGATGAGTGTAGGCAGGGTTCCGACCAGGGAGTGAAAAGAGAAGGAAAACTTCTGGAGTGCCATGTCAAAGAGGCGAAAGGTCCCCTTTATGAGGATCATCTCATATCACACGCATAAGTATATGAGATGAGGTGATCTTATAATAAAATGTTTGAATATGTAGGTATGGCGAGAATATTGTAAAATCACAATTTATTCTATAATAAGATGGTGAATTGACCTTTAACATTGGTCAAGTTTACTAGAAAATTTCGAAACCATTGAATTTGGTGTTTCCTTTTATTAATTATTTTTATTTAAAGAAAAATAAAAATATGGGTAAAAAGAATTTTTTTTTCTCTTTTTAATAAAATAAACGACAAATTCGATAATTCTGGTACATTGAAATTTTTGTCCATGTTTCTTATCCAAAATAACATCTAGCACCAATATCAACATTGTTGGACCACTGAAACCAAATGCAAACTGTATTCGCTCAGTACATATTTTTGTAAAAATTAATTGTGATTATTAAATAAGATTTTAGGTATAACATTTTTTGGAATAAAAATATTATACAATTAAATTTTTTATTAAAGGAATTATTAATACAAATTCATAGAATTAATTTTAATATAATATTAGTATAAATTTTGTATATTATTATCGGATTATGTATGGTTTGATCATTAAAAAAATGTGATTTTCTTTAAAAATATAATATAAATAATATTATATTTAAATTAAACTCTAAAATTATTGTACGAAATATAAAAGTCCAAAAGGGGAAAATGAAATTTAGCATAATAATAGAATTGTACAATTTATGAAAGAAGAGAAATAGAGAATCATGTGTTTGAATCTGTTTTTTGTTTATTTATTTTTAAAAACTGTTTTAAGAACGAAGTTTGAAAACTGATTTTGAGAGTAAAAAAACAATAAAACTTGTTTGAATATGGTTAGTTTAAAAGTTATAAAAAAGATGTAATTATTTATAAAAATGTTATTAATGAATTCTCAAATTTATAAAAATGTCACCGCAAAATAATTAAAAATAAAAAAAAATCAATTTAATTACAAAAATATCACTAATGAATCCCTTTATTTATCAAATTGCCACCGTACAAAACTAAAAACCACAAAACAACTTTGAAAAACATGTAAAACTTGTTTTGCTTTTTCTATTTCCAAAACTCAAAAACAGACACGATTTTTAATACAGGATGCATGAAAACAGATTTTCAAACAAGATTTTTTATTTTATTATTTTTAAAAATTAAAAACTGATTTTGAAAACACAAATCAATCGTGGCCACGACGAGATTATATCATTTATGGAAGAAGCGAAGAAGAGGTATGTTTATATTTTTGGAGCGACACATACAACGATAAGGTCCATTGCTTCTCACTGTAGAGTAGTAGACCCCTACCATCCCGTCCAATGTCACATGTCGTGTCAGTCAGAGTCATGACTCATGTCATGCACCGATACGGTATTTGGTATTATAGCATGTATGCACTGCCATGCCATCATCATATTCTCTCTCCTGCTGTTATTAATTCAAATTTAATTATTTTTCTCAGATACATAATAATATTTATAAATATATAAAAAAATGAAGACGCATGCAAAAAGGTCATGATGGTGTCCTGTGTGACCCACTCCCACACAAAACCTCCTTACCCATGCTTTTGTGTATTTTAAGATTCTGATCGCAATATTACATCCTACCCTTCCATTATCTTCTATTAATACCCTTCAACTTCTTTCTTTTTATTCTTTCTGCCATTACCATTATTACCACTGATTACACTATCCTTCCATTTTTCCGTTTATGCTTTCTACTTCACAATATTGCCCTTGTTTGCTTCCCAAATTGAATAAAATAACACTTCTTTGAATTTTTTTTACCTTCAATAGAGAAATGAACAATTATTCACTACCATACTTAAACCATCAAATATTTGAATATTTTGATGTTATAATTTTTATGATTCATATATTTCAAATGATTCATCTCATGAAATATATGCCAGGAATTATTATTATTTAGATATATGTTAAGTGTAAAATGTTACGGTTAGAAATAGATGAATGAAGTTAAAAATACGCTCATGAATTTTGTTAAAACATGCTTAAATACGTTCGTATTGAAACATTATAAATTTAGATGAGTGAAGTTAAAAAAAAATTAATTATGAATTTTATTAGAACATATAAACACATTAATATTGACACATTTCATCTTTATACAAGAAGTAAAATATTTTAAGATTACTGTATAAAAAAAAATTTAAGATTAGATCTTATCTTACTCTACACACTGTGAACGCATTAAACGCCTTTTAGTGATACCTAAAAATCTATCAAGTAAAAATTTGTAGCTTTCTGTTAATCCATTTTCTTTATTTTTATTTGTTTGTATCTTAATATGAAACTAAACTTTTGAAACCAAACACAAAATGCATGAACTGTAAGTAAAAGGTATGATTTTTTTTATTTGTTAAATAATTTATCTGTGTAATTATTGAAAATTACAATTAGAATCGTCACAACAAAACCAAAAACACAAAACAAGTTATTATAATCTAGCACCAATAAAATCTCTGAAAAAATTGACAAGCTGTTAAACAAAAGTTTTAATTGAAAATAGTACGGATGATACTGCAACCTGGAATACACATAACACCATTATCTTTTTATTAATAAACAGATCTGAGAAGAACTGGCACGAAGTAATATTTTTTTTAAAATCCCTTAATTAAAGAAGCAAGCAAGTAATTGAAGGAGAGGGGGCAAGGGTAATTATGACATTACGCAGATAATGATATGGGGAGCGGCGGGACCATGGGCTTTGGGGGCTTTCAAAAGCTGAAGTGTGAGAAGAGCAGCCGAACAAGAAAATATGATAGTAATTTAGTTCACACATAAAAATTGAATAAATAAGAGTAAAAATATATGTTTGATACATTTTAGTATTATTTTTATGAGAAATTTAAAATCTTAATTTTGAAGTATTATGAACTCTGGATTAATACACAGGGAACTTGTAGAATTACCGAGGGAATAATTTTCAAAAAAGAAAAAAAGAAAAAGAAAAGAAGAGCAGCCACACCGCGGGAAAAGGGGTAGTTTGGTCCATACAATGTGTAGTTCAGTGCAATTTGAAAAATTAATATAATATATAAATAAGAAAAAGAGGGTGCTCCATTTTGAACCGAAAGTGAAAGAACCAATGAAAACACTCACAACAGAGCAAATATGAGAAGACGACACATAGAAATTGAGAAATTGAGGAACCAACCAACCAACAAGGCAACAACACCTCCAAAAAGCAAAAGCCTGAACATGATGCTCCACTGCCCTCTCTTTCTCTTCCAGCTGTGTTAGGGTTTCCTCTCTTTTCTTTCCCCCTTTATTTTTTTTGTTTGATTCCCAAAGCAAAAGATTAAAAAAAAAAAGAAAAAAGAGAGAGAGAGAAGTATTCACCATCACAGTTCTCAGAGCAATTTCACAGTGCCAGAGATTCCCCTATCAGCTGCAAAAAAACAAAAATAAGTAAAAATGCTTCTTTGATCTTTGCCCTGCCTATTTTTGTTCTGTTTTGCTCTCTCAATGGCGTTTGTTTGATAGCTTGAAAAGTATGGTCCAAAGATCAGCAACAATTCAAATAGATTAGCACAAGTGGTACCTTCCAGTGGATGAAGATCGTTAAAGCGGTGTCGTTTTGGCTCGCTCTGAGTCCCTGAGGGACAACTCTGCAAGGTTCGGGTTATGCTATTTCTGATAATAGAATCGATTCGGGTGTACAACTTTTCCGGGTGGTTATAGTTTTTTTTTTTTGTTTTTTGACCCTTTTTTTAGGAAATTGTTTTTTTTTTTCCCCATGTTGTAGGTGAGGTGTTGTTTGTTTGTGGGAGTCAGATCGTTGCTGTTGTTAGCATGAGGTTGCTTCAAAGGCTCTGATCTCGAAAGATTTTTATCGTATTCTCGTGTTAGTGGCTGTCTCTTGCTGAGGAAACAAAGATAAACTGCGTGCCACTTCAGCTCTCTCATTTGCCTCACAGTTTTCGCTGCAAACTCTTCCTGACTCACTAGGCAGAGGAATCTGCTAATGGTTGCTTGCTGTTAAAGAGCAATTGAAGTTGTGGTAGAAGTCACTTGTTGTTGTTGTTGTTCAAACGTTTGGTTGGTTGGTTGGTTGGTGGGGTGTTTGAATTTTGAGGTAGTTGTTAGATATGGCAATGTCCTGCAAGGATGGTAAAGCAGGATTGGATAATGGCAAGTATGTCCGTTACACACCTGAGCAGGTTGAAGCCCTTGAGAGGCTTTATCATGACTGCCCCAAACCCAGTTCCATTCGCCGCCAGCAGCTTATTCGCGAGTGCCCAATACTCTCAAACATTGAGCCAAAGCAAATCAAAGTTTGGTTCCAGAACAGAAGGTACAATTGGCTGCACAACCAAATTGCTATACTTTTATGATTTAATTATCTGCATTCTTGTTTACCCTATACTGATTGTTTGTTGCTCATGGTCATGGACGAGTACTTGATGGGGGAACTGCTAGATTAATACAACAGAAAGTGTTCATTCTAGTTTTTGGTGTTATGCTTTTTTAATGATGATGCCCGTGGATTGTGTTTGTTGCTAATTCAGATGTAGAGAGAAGCAGAGAAAAGAGGCTTCGCGGTTGCAAGCTGTAAATAGGAAGCTGACAGCCATGAACAAGTTGCTGATGGAGGAGAATGATAGGTTGCAGAAGCAGGTGTCTCAATTGGTGTACGAAAATGGCTACTTTCGTCAACATACCCAAAATGTATGAATTTTGCTCATGTGTTTCTACTCTTTCAACTTGGTTAATTTGGGAATTTTGTATTCAACTGTGTCCTTTTCTAAAAGTTTCCTGATTTACAATCTTAAAAGTTTTCTTTTTTTAATGCTTTTTTAGTAATTTAGGGGTGCAATTGTTCTTCCCTTTGTTCATTACTGAACGCGTTAGAATTGAGTTAGAATGGTGAATTCTCTGCAGAATACGCTTGCAACCAAAGACACAAGCTGTGAGTCAGCCGTGACTAGTGGTCAGCGCAGTTTGACAACCCAGCATCCTCCAAGGGATGCAAGTCCTGCAGGGTTAGTGGGGATGTGATTGTTGGGTCCCTTTCTGTCATTGTTGTCTGTGAAAACTTGGCTGTGCATGTTTGGCCTTATGGAATCTTGTGTCATTTTTCCCAGGCTTTTGTCCATTGCAGAAGAGACTTTAGCAGAGTTTCTTTCAAAGGCTACTGGGACTGCTGTTGAGTGGGTCCAAATGCCTGGAATGAAGGTAACCCAATAACTCTTAATATTGGTTGATCAATTGGTTGTTTTATTCTTCAATACTTTCATTGGAACGTACTATGAACATAATGATTAAATACCGGGAAAATCTTCATCTTTGAATAACTTTACACCTCAACTTGTGATGGCTAATGGCTTTCTTTGTTAATAAGGGTTTGTCTTCTATTTACAGGGTGCTTGCTAAACATTTTTTTAAATTATTATTTTTCATTAATTCTTGCTGATTTGCGCAGCCTGGTCCGGATTCCATTGGAATCGTTGCTATTTCTCATGGTTGCACTGGTGTGGCCGCAAGAGCCTGTGGCCTAGTGGGTCTAGAACCTACAAGGGTTAGTGCTCTTAATTTATTGTATTTACACTAATTGTCTTGCTTGTGTTTATAGATGGGATAATCAACTGTACCCTTTCCAGGTTGCAGAAATCCTCAAAGATCGGCCTTCGTGGTTCCGAGATTGCCGAGCTGTTGATGTTCTGAATGTGCTGCCCACTGCAAATGGTGGAACTATAGAGCTGCTTTATATGCAGGTAAAGCAACTTAATTAATTGGTATGAATGATGACTCTCTGTAACTTAACAGACTATGTTTCTTATTTGTGTACTTTACTCTTTGGTGATAAGCTATATGCACCAACCACGTTGGCACCTGCTCGGGACTTCTGGTTGTTGCGCTACACATCTGTCCTAGAAGATGGAAGCCTAGTGGTAAATGACTATCTAGAACTCTTTTCTTAAGATTTTATTTGACTAGGCATTGTAGTTAACAACATACCTCTCTTTATGTGCAATGCCTAGCCCTACTTTTATATTACATAGTTCCCATTTTTATTCCTATGTTGTAGACGGACTCTTTTTTGTCCTTTTCATCTTTTTTTTTTTCCTTCTTTTCTTTTATTCCATTTTTCCTTTCAATCTTTTTTCTCTTACCTATTTATTTATTTATGTGTTTTTCTTTTTCTTTTTTCCCTATATTCCTTTTTATGTTGTTTTATTTTATTTTTATTTCATTTATCTATTTATTTATTTTTTATTTCTTACCTTCTTATTCTTTTCTGTCCCCCCATATCTCCTTATTTGTATTTTATTTTAATTTATTTTTCCTTATAATTGTGTACTACTTTTGTATGGATAATATTTATATATATATATATATATATACATGGAAAGATCCGTTTACAAACTTTTTTTACAAATTTTTGCAAAGTAAATAGTGTAACCTAGTGTACTTCCGGAAGTACAGTGTAGTTTGTAAACAAAAAGTTTGTAAATATAACCCTCCCTATATATATATGAGTTTAGTGTTTGTCATTTTAAATGACATAAGTTATGTCATTTGTCATTAAATGACATAAGTTATGTCATTTTAGGAGAGAGATTGACACAAAAAATGGAAATCATGAGAGAGAGAAAGTGGGTGGTTTTTTTTAATTTAAATTTTAAATAAAAAAATTATTTTGTGTCTATCTCTCTCTTAAAATGACAAACACTTTTTCATATATATATATATATGTATATATATATATATGTATATACACTTACAGTTTATTTTTATCATTTTTTTCTCAATATTTCCATACCTTTTTTTCTGGTTCATCTACCACCGATCCCATCTAATATGGGATAAAGGTGTTGTTGATGTGGAGTTCTCCTACTCTGCAAGTACATCTACATCATTCTTATAATGCTTCCCTGCTTCAGATCTGTGAGCGGTCTCTTAAAAATACACAAAATGGTCCAAGCATGCCTCCTGTGCAGCACTTTGTTAGAGCAGAGACGCTGCCTAGCGGGTACTTGATAAGACCTTGTGAAGGAGGTGGTTCCATCATCCACATTGTTGATCATATGGATTTGGAGGTATATGAATTTAACTTTGTTGCATTAATATTTTTATTTAACAAAAATAACTTCAGCACTCTTTGTATTATTGTTAGCCATGGAGTGTTCCTGAAGTATTGCGTCCACTGTATGAATCATCAACAGTGCTGGCTCAGAAGACAACAATGGTGGTATGATTTTTGTAATTATTACTGATGATTTTTTGTATTATAGTATTTGAGTTTATACAATTGGAAGATATTTTTCATCTTGAGAGTAGCACAAATATAGACTGTGGGTTTTACCAAGGGTTGTGGCTTCTTTACATCTTTCTCCTTTTCATGCAGGCCCTACGTCAGCTAAGGCAGATATCGCATGAAGTTTCTCAGTCTAATGTCACTGGGTGGGGTAGACGACCGGCAGCTCTTCGGGCACTTGGCCAGAGACTGAGCCGGTTAATATATTAAACTGGAGCATGATTTTTGTTGAATTTCATTGCATCTAAATCTGGAATCTCACATCTATTTCCTGGCAGGGGTTTCAATGAGGCAGTCAATGGGTTTACTGATGAGGGATGGTCAATGATTGGCAATGGTGCTGATGATGTTACAGTTCTAGTGAATTCATCACCTGACAAGTTAATGGGTCTTAATCTTTCCTTTGCCAATGGATTTCCATCTGTCAGCAATGCAGTCTTATGTGCCAAAGCTTCCATGCTATTACAGGTAAGGATACTTTCAAGTTTTTCCGAATTTCCTTAAAATTATAAAGTAAAATACTTAATAACGAAATATGTCTATTTATTGCTATAAATGATTTTTTAGACAAAGATAAAGGTCAAGCTCCTATTATATTGTAAACATGTAGTTCGTAGTGTTCGTATAATATTCTTGTTTTTGTATGAGCAGTTGAGGTCATGTTTAATTGAAAAAGAATCATGTAATTCAAATATCATCATTCATAATATATTGACTATCAATTGCCTAGTTAACAAAGAGTTGCTCCTATCCAATGGGTTTAGGGGACATATGAGGACTTGTTTGATCAGTCATCGATCTTTCTAATCTGCAATTGCTGAACCTGCCTTATTTGTTTAATAATTAATTTAATTGTTATGATTATTTCTATCTTATTCCAGTGCTGCTGTTCTCCTTAACAAAAGCATGGCCTGGAGACATTTTTAATTTGATGTTTTAACATTGGCGTTATATTTTTCTATGGCCATGTGTCATTTCTTTGTACAGAATGTGCCTCCAGCCATTCTATTAAGGTTCCTACGGGAGCATCGATCAGAATGGGCGGACAACAACATGGATGCTTACTCAGCTGCTGCCATTAAAGTTGGTCCTTGTAGCTTTTCAGGATCTCGGGTTGGAAATTATGGGGGTCAAGTTATTCTTCCTCTAGCCCACACTATCGAGCATGAGGAGGTAATAAATTGGTGCTAAATATTCAATTCTAGTATTACAAATTTTATAATTGTGCTGGTTCTAACTCTGCTTATACATGCTAGTTTCTGGAAGTCATTAAATTGGAAGGAATTGCTCATTCTCCTGAAGACACAATAATGCCCAGAGAAGTTTTTCTCTTGCAAGTAAGTTTTTTCCCTTATGTTGCTGGCTCTATGCTTCTCCCCTTCAGAGATGGTACTTGATATGCTTGTTTTGCTCATGTGGTACATGGAAACAAAACCTTTAAGCTGTTTGTTGTACTACTCCTTTCACTTTTCGTATCTCTCTAGGCTTGAAATGTTTCGAAGTTGATGTTGACTTGTGTTAGTATTGACACCGCTGATTTACGCGCTACTTAAACTTAATCCTGTTGATGTGATGTTATCAACATTTCCTATATTGGAAAGCAAATGAAATTGTGAATGGTGATCTGTGCTCACTTTCTTCTTTCTATGATCTATGGTGAGGAGGAAAACGTATTTTATCCCCAACTCTCTTGAAATTTTTAATAGAACAAATAACTTGCTAGTTTAGCTTAGTATTAAGAAAGTTTAGCTCAGTATTTTACCAGAATGAGGCAGCTTTTTGTTCTTGCCAATCGCAACCATTTTGGTTTCTATCATATCCTTGCTTGTAGTTTACTTTCTTAACAGTTCATTCGATTTGTTTTGATAGCTCTGCAGTGGAATGGATGAGAATGCTGTCGGCACCTGTGCTGAACTTATATTTGCTCCAATTGATGCATCCTTTGCTGATGACGCCCCCCTTCTGCCTTCTGGATTTCGCATCATTCCTCTTGATTCTGGAAAGGTTAGCTGTAGTCATTGCTGAAGCAGTATATTTTGTTTGAATTTAGGATTTACCTTTCAACAAGGTTCTTGTAATTATTGCAATGAAATTTTTTGCAGGAAGCGTCCAACCCAAATCGCACCCTTGACCTTGCATCTGCCCTTGACATTGGCCCCACTGGAAACAGAGCATCGAATGATTATTCTGGAAATTCTGGCTGTATGAGATCGGTGATGACAATTGCATTCGAATTTGCATTTGAAAGTCATATGCAAGAGCATGTAGCATCCATGGCACGACAATACGTTCGTAGCATTATATCATCTGTCCAAAGGGTGGCATTAGCGCTTTCACCTTCTCATTTGAATTCACAAGCTGGGCTTAGGACACCACTAGGTACTCCTGAAGCGCAAACACTTGCTCGTTGGATCTGCAACAGTTATAGGTGTGTAAGCTCTTTGTTTTGCCTTGCCATTTGCTTTCATATTTCTGAGCCTGAGGCTGGTCTAATGTATTTAGCCACGAACCCCATTGTATCAAGTTGACATATTTTGTGTGACGTCCTTTTGGCATGGGAAGCCATTGTTCTTCAAGATTGTCTTAAGGATGAGAAATTTATCTCATTCGATAAATAAATAGCAGCTCTTAAAAGTTAATGAATGGTTAGATAAGTGGCATACCTGTTTTTAGCGACTTTTCCTTTTTTTCTTTTCTTTGATAGCCACCTCTAGTCGTCCAACAGTCCTGCCTTCTACATATCTGCTTACCAGGAAAAGGAATCTTGTATCGAACTAGCAGATGTGCCGAGTTCTGTAAATGGACTCACGGCATCAAATCTTGATATTGTGTTGTTGTTCTACCTGTTGACAGCTATTCCACAACTCATTAACTCTTGTATCATTATTTCTAATCTGTTATCTGATTATTCAGTAAAGTTTAATTGAGATACTTCCACGGAAGTTAGTGATAGGTTAGATAAGTTGCATGCACATGTTACGAAATTTTTGGCTTTTATTGATTTTTCAGGGAGAGGCTGGTATTTCTAACATAGCTGTTGTTTGATTGTCTAAATTTTGTAGGTGCTACTTGGGTGTCGAGCTACTTAAATCTAATAGCGAGGGGAACGAAACTTTACTCAAGTCCTTGTGGCATCACTCAGATGCAATATTGTGCTGCACTCTAAAAGTATGCTTGAAATTTATTTCAATTTCACAGAACATGCATCTATTCTCAATGTCATGTACCTTCTCTGTATGTAGTGCAACTCAGCTTCTCTGATGTAATAAAATAATGAAATTTTTTAGTTGCACTATAATTTCCTGGTATATTTTAGGAAAGGGCTCGAAGGATGTTCAGCATTATGAGTTATAGTGAATTACATAGGTTTTATTTTTTTCTTTTGCCGAGTATAGACCCATCTTCTACTTGGCACCTTAAAAAAAGCAGTTATACCTGTCAGAATTGCAAGTCAACTATCGATTCTTCTGATTATTATACTCTTGTACTACTTGTGTGAAAGTACCTTCATTGAACTCGGTTATTGCAGGCATTGCCCGTGTTCACTTTCGCAAACCAGGCAGGGCTTGACATGCTGGAGACTACCTTAGTTGCTTTGCAAGACATAGCTTTAGAGAAAATATTTGACGATCATGGTCGAAAGATTCTCTGCTCAGAGTTTCCCCAAATTATTCAACAGGTCTAACAATTTTTATTATAGTAAACAAGCAATGATTCCACTTTCACCAGGCTTGTTATTGAATGGCATTTTGTCTTTAGACGTGTCGCATATGCATTTCTTCTTTCTTGTATAATTATGTTGCAGTCTAGGGTTTTGCCCCACCAAATAGTCTTTGCATACTTGGTGGAATTGTTCCTTTCTCTTATCTCACTTCTTTTTCCCTGAATTCAGGGTATGCTAAAAAATAAAAATAGAACTTGCAGCATCTTGAAGCTATATTTTGCTTTGTATTGATTTCTGTTCATTTTTATAGGGTTTTGCCTGCCTTCAAGGTGGTATGTGTCTCTCAAGCATGGGGCGACCGATCTCATATGAAAGAGTAGTGGCTTGGAAGGTGCTGAACGAAGAAGAGAATGCTCATTGTATTTGCTTTACGTTTATGAACTGGTCTTTTGTTTGACATATGATATGATTAGAGAACAGGAATCGATGTGTTAAAAAAGACTATGCACTCTTTTTTAAGACATGTTTTGCTGCTTGGTGTTTTGCTGTATTTTGCTGTGAAGACTTGGATTTGCATGTAAAGACTACTTATGTGTTAGCCTATGTTGCTTATTTCCTTATTCAAGCTCCCTGTCTATGTTTGGCAATTCCTACTAAGTTTTGCACCTTGTGATGTGGGAAGAATTCTTGATGTCCTGTCACAAATCTATCTTCGTTTTGGGCTATACACAATTGACAATTATGAAAGAACTTCTTTCTCACAAACTGACAATTATTTCTTGTGTAAGTTTTAAGTATTTTGCAAGGAGAAAGATTGTTTTGATCAGTATGAACAAGATTTCCCCCTCATTTGGTAGTTACGTGTGGGGGATCTTTGCTACTTCTATCACTGTTGATACAGCTCAGTGGAGAAATTGGTTAAAGAGGTGGAATATGCAGCCGATTCACTAACAAATGAATTTAATACTTATCTTTAAAGGCAAGAAAAAAGTATGCATATTGATCGTTTTCTAATATTATAATTTTTTTTTTTTTAAAATAAGTTTGATATACCGAAATATGATTTAAGTAATCTTATTTTATTATATTGATGATTGTTTGATAAGGTGATATTACTTATTAAATAATAATTGTCATAGTTACTTGATTTTTAAAAGATTTAATAAAGATCCACTAGGATTAGCCTAATGGTGTGGGGTGTGTGTGTTAGGTGTATGTAATGTAGTGGTGTGTGTTCAATTTCCATGTAATGCAAAAAAAAAAAAAAAAGATTTATTAAAGATATCATTAAGAGACATTTAGGAACATTTAAAGGGTAAAGGAGATTTACCTTTTATTCTTTAAGGATTACTCATTAAAAGAAATTCACTTTCCTCATTCTTAAAGAATTATATATTAGGAAACTTTTTTGTTAATTTTTTTTTTGTTATTGTCCTATTATTTTTTTTTTTTTTGTGTAATAAAATTAGCATAAATAGAAAGGAAGCCTCAAGAACAGAGACAGAAAATTCCTATATACCAGGAGTACCAATACTAGAAATTTTTTATGACTTAGTTGGGCAAGGATTAAGGAGGTTATTTAAAAAATTGAACTTTTTCTTTTCTAATTAATTACTGATTTTCTTTTCAATCTTTTTGTTGATTCTCTCTTTGACATGACTAGCTAAATACTTTTGTGTTAGGGGTAGATAGTCTTCAATTGAATTTTGATATGATTAGACTTATTTTCAAATCAATACCTTTTTGTCTTCTATTTAGAAATTGTTCATGTGCTTAATGCTTCCATGACTTGATTATTCTTGCATTGATTTTGAATTTGTATATTTAATTGAGAATTTTGTATATGAATTTAACTTGTGACAACTATCATATTGATTAATGATCAAGATATAGACATAATGGTATGCAATTTTTTGAAATTCATATATCTAATTACTTAATCCAATTGAGGGGAAGATATTAATTAAGTTTCTTCTTCTCGGATAAAGGGTTAGGATAGTAAGAGATTGAATCTTAATTTATAAATTTGATAGTGAATATAGTTGATAGAGAATTAAAGTAAGATAATTTTAATTTGTATTGAGTGATAATTAGGAAATAATAAACCCAATTTCCCTGTAAATTAGGAATCTCATACTTTATTGACTGCTTTACTTGATTTCCTGCCTTTATTCATTATTTTTATAATTGAATAGTTATCTTTTATTCACCATTTTTCGTACTTAATTTAGATCCATCCAAATAAAATTGAAATAGTAAATTGGTGTTTAGAATAACCAATCTTCTTTAATTATTCATTACGTGTACACTAAGTGCCCTTGCCAAAGTCACAAGATATATGTCCCTTTAAAATTAAACACCAAGTATGGGTATCAAAATTTTAAAATTAAGAAATTGATCAACTAGAAAAGCTCTACACCTGCATGTAGTTTCCCACATTTGAAAATTAGAAAGTAATTCAGCCCAAGTTTCCAACACTATATTGGCAATTGCTAGTGCTCTTTCTAGCAGCAACTTTTGCAAAAGGAACTTCAGAATTACAAGTTAACAAGGAAGCTATCGATGGATCGTATTATGTACCTGATCATTATATTTTCCGAAATGAGTCAAATAGAAAAATACCGACGATTAGGCTACAAACTACAAAGCGTACGTCCTTTCCCCAGAACTCGTGACAAAATTTGTGGAAGTAATAATATGTTCATTTAAATTAAAAAAAAAATAAGAAAAAGAAATAATACTAGTGGAAAAGTGATTTTCTATCTCGATCACATGCATTAATTATACTTAACTATTGTTCACATATTTATTGCTTTATCAAATTTTTTTATAACCACTAGAGTTTTATATATAACTAGACCCTAGCTATCAGATAGAGACTGCAACTTTATTGATATATATATCTTTCTTGAAACCAAGTTCAATGGCTTTCCTTTCTCTTTTTTAAGTTCCCCGTGAAATGAAATTAAAGTTCATGTTTGTGGAGGAAGGCTCGTGCGATATAACTGTAATTAAGTTTACCACGAAAGCAGAAAGTCGAAGCAAATATATATGGTTTTACTATGCCAGCATGTGAATACCCCACAAACTGTATTGGTGCTCAGCTCAGCTTGTACTGGACGACAACTAATGATCAATTTGCTAAAAGGAAGAACTTTTTATTAATGCCAACCAACTTTTTCTCATTGCATGGACGTAAAATTTGCTTAAACATTATTCTAATAATAAGGGATTTTTTTTATTTTTTTTTCTACTTAAGCGTGTTATATTAGTATGTATGTTGGACCGAACATGGAAAATAGTGGCGGAGCCGAATAAAACTTTTATTAGCCCGTGCCAAATATCAAATCCAGAAAAAATTCAGCCAGTGCCAGTTATGGAAGAAGTTGTTATTTTCATGGTTCTATATTATTTTCATAGTTCTATAAATATAAAATCAATCATTTTTAAAATCCAGCCAGTGCCAAAATACTTGCTGGTTCTAATGAAAATCCAATTATATTACCTGCATTAATACAGTAGGTTAGAATGAGGGACCGTGAAAAAAAGAAAAAAAAATAATTGAACTGTGAAAAAATAAAAACATATATTTTTATATTCAACCATGGCTTCTTAATTTTGTAAATATATCTTCCTCTTTTTTCTTTTTTATTCCACATATACATTATTTTTCAGATTATATTGGAAAAGGGAAAAAAAATAGTAGAGGTCTAGAGGAGGAAAAAGAAAGGCAAGTGGTTTAAAATTTGATAAGGAGAATTTGCCGTGACTTGAATAGTTGAATCAGATTAGTCACGTAATCGATGAACCGATGAATAATATATATATATATAAAAAAAGAAAGGCAGGTCATTTGTGCGTTGCACTATTATCAGCCAAAGGAAGTAATCATGCAGTTGAACCATGCAGAATATATCTTCACCTTTTTCTTGTAGCCACACAACTACCAAGCAGGGAAGTCAACTTGGAAGTGAAATATACAGCACGCATGCATCCCTATCAAATCAGATATACATGCAATTACTTCAAATTTCGAAAAGGCTACACGAGTCATTGCATTGTCATTAAATCTTTCTCGAAAAATCTAGCAAGTTCACGGTCACTGAAACTGACATTTGATCCTCTAAGATCCACACATGTTCACAATGTCACATTGTCAGAAACAATTTGAACTATTATAAATAGGACTGTTCCTAATTCATTGCTTATTCATCAACAATTCAGTCACTGTATCAATCCAATCAATATTCTTCTCAAACCCCATTGAAGTAATTAAGCAAGAGATATATGGCACCCCATGGAGAGTCTTTGCCAAGTTCTTTCAGTAGGAGCAACAACAAGTCCAAGCCACCAAGACTCTCATCTGAACACATTCAAAGAACAATCTCAGACATCTCGTTTGAGATAACCAAGGAAGGGATTGATTTGACACTTGCACCAATAACTGAGGTTCAAGAAGCAAAGTGTGAATGTTGTGGAATGTGTGAGGAGTGCACCCCTGAGTACATAGAACGTGTACGTGACAAGTTCTTGGGGAAGTGGGTGTGTGGATTATGTTCTGAGGCAGTGAAGGAAGAGTTAGAAAAAAATGGAGGGAAAAAAGAGGAGGCTTTAAGTGCACATATGAGTGCATGTGTTAGGTTCAACAAATATGGAAGGGCTTTCCCGGTTCTGTTCCAAGCAGAGGCCATGAAAGAGATGCTGAAAAAGAGCAAAATGGAAGGGAGAAGGGTCAATTCCTTCAGCCCTAGGGAGAAGAAAGGAGGACAAAATAAAGCAGGGATTGCTCGAAGTTCAAGTTGTATTGCAGCAATTACAAGAGATATGAATGATCTCACAATTGCCAATTAATCAATCTCAAGTTCTTATTACCAAAATTAGTTTAAGCTTTTTTTTTTTCTAGAATATTTTCCTGTAACTTTATTTTTTTTTCTACTGACTAGGTCTAAGTCTTCCTTCTTCACATCTAATATTCCTTGTTTCTAAATGCTTCCGAGACCTTCTTTGGGTGTTGAACATGGCCCCATATATGTTTTCATGGGAAGAAGCCCTAAGTTACCTTTTGAGGTTTTTTTCAGGTCTCTCCCCATTATATTCTAGTTTTTTGTAAGTTGGTTCTTATTTGCATTTCTTTCTCTGGAGAGGGTTATTCTTTGTTTTTTGTCAGTGGGTTTTTCTAGTTTTGTTTAATGATTTGTATCCAAGGTGTTGCCAATCTTATAGTTGAATAATATATATTTACTTGGTGCATCGATCTAATGCTTTAACTAGCTAGCTTTTTTCTTCTTATTTTCGGTATCACCCCAAGTACTGGAGATCTGTGGCTTAGAAGGTAGTTGAGACCTTTAAAAATAAATATCAAATGGTTTAAAATTTTGAAGAAACAAATAAAGAGGCAATGGTAAACACTTTATTTTGACCGGGTCTAATTTTAATTTATAAAAAAAAGAACAAAAAAATGGTTAAAAAAAGAAAATAAAAAAAGCTTTGCAAAGTCCCACGTTGGAGAAGAAATGAGTAAGCTTAACACATAGTTCTCGGAGCTTTTTTAAGTCCGATCGAAGAAGTGTTCTTCCTCCCTTTCTCATTTATATGTAAGTCCACTCTGAAATGTTCAATCTACGGAAAAAAAAAAAAAAACAATCGGACTTATTAATTAACAAGTATAAAGCTTGTGCTGTAATAATTTTTTTTTTAAGGAATAACTGTGACGGGCTCTCCCCAACTCAGTTTTTAATTTTTAAGGTTCATTAATAATTTGCACATAAGTTTAGAACTTGGTTTTTGATTTTTAAACTCCATTAATAATTTGCACATTAAGTTAAGGTAATTATTTTTTAAATTGGTGAGGCTCATCATAATTAGACTCACAATGCGAGGTTGATGAAATATGTAATTTTAATTGGTTAATGTATGATTGTATCGTAACTTAATTATATATATGTTGACAAAATTTATTCTTCAAGTAAGGTCAACTTTGTTTGAAATAAAAAAAAAAAACCACTCCTTGTACGCAAAGAGTGTGGGGTGGAGGAAATCCTTGTACGCAGGATTACTCTTGCATAATTGCAAAGAAGCTGTTTCCTGGAAACGAACCCATGACCTTTCAGTCATGAAGGAACAGTTTTACCACTGCTCCAGTTCGCCCCATTTTGTCAACTTTGTTTGAAATCTGAGAAAATAATCCTCGTAAACTTATTAAAGTAAAAAAAAAAAACTTTGCTATGATATATTTACTAGATATAGGAGGACCACTGGCCATGTTTACAATCTAAAAATTCTTGAAAATCCACAATCACACAAATTTAAAAAGAAAAAAAGAAAAGAGAGAGAATAGATACAATGATTTATTTTGGTTTATCTAATTTAGACTACATTCAGTTTGTCTGTACTATATTTACCTCACCGTCACTCGTTACAAGTCACTCGATTTACAAGGAGAATATAAATATGATTAGAAAATCCTAACAATAGCTATTCATAGAACCTCAATTGTCTTTCTGCTGAACTCGACAATAAAAACCCTTATCAATATACGAAATATGAGCCATACCTAACAAAAATACATATCCTGTACCCAAAATCTACTATTTTTTTTGGGTAGCATAAATCAATCGTTATACAACTTTTTTTTTTTTTTGACTGAGTTTGTTTTGAAATTGAATAAATAAGAGTATATTTATCTTTAAATTTTAAAATCATGATTTATGTATTTGAATGAAATAAATATAGATATTCAAGGAAGCTAATGCCTACGCACGCTTCATGGTAAGGACCCAGTACTGAGTAGAATTTTAGTGGTCCTGGATCACCATTTACTTAGTGATCCAGATTAATCAAAATCAATGTTGTTAAACTCGATCCATGCATCAACCCAGTCGGGGTACTGGATCATTGGGTCACTAGTCGGACCGGTGGGTTACTGGTCAGATCGATTGACCCAGATATATATAGATATATAAATATATATATATATAAATATGAACATATAAATTCAATTATATTCTCCATATCTAAAATGAATTAAACAAGGTTCACTAAATAAGCTCAATAACATAAAGCATAAATAAATAAAAATGCACACTATTACTATGTTAATTTAAATTGTAACTCAGAATCCCCATAAACATACCTCTCAATGACATTGAACTCATATTTTTCAAAATTCAACTACATTAAAATGACATATGTCACATTCTAATTTATTATACCGTAAATTGCTTCAGTATTGTAAACTAAAATTTGAGGTCATTATAGAAGAGTATATTAGCAAATAAAATTACAAAATGTTTTTAAAATGAGTTCTACAATTTTTCTAATAAGATGAAATAGTTTTTTTTTTTGGTTTTTTTTTTTTAAAATACATGACCTGACCGGGTCACCGGGTTTCACCGAGTTCTTGGTCGACCCGGCCGAGTTTTACAACATTAATCAAAATCATACAACTAATAAGGAGAGAGGAGAGAGAAAAAATAAAAAATAATTTTTTATCCAAATATCATCTCTTGAATGATAGGATCACATGGGCACAGAGGCCGATAGGAGGGGGGCTAGGGTGGGCTCTCGCCCCCCTTACCATTTGATAGGAAAAAATTATATATATAATTGTATTTTATTAATATTACAAAATGTGTGTGAGTGGATAAATTACTGACATGAGTGAGCGTGAAGAGGAAGCACAAAATCTCAACGGCTCAAATCAAACTTTTGAAAATTGTTCAGCTTGCAATTGCAAGAGAAGACAACTGAAGAGGAAGCACAAGCATTTTCATTGAAGGAGGTGTGGGACTCAATCTTGAAACACTCTTCAAGTACCTATTCGCTTTTCAGTAGTAATCTTTCCCAACTATTTTACATAGAAAAGCAAATGATGGGAAAAAAGTTTCCTAGCCATATTTTTTCTTTACCTCCTACCAAACATAGACAAATAATTTTTCCAACCCCATTTTCTTAGGAAATTTTTTTTTCACCTCCTATCAAACACGTGATTAGATTAAAAAATTGTAGTGTGTTCTTCTAAATTATTCTTAATCTCTTTAAAATTCCAACAATTTTAGCTATAAAAAGAATGAAAGGACATATATAACTTTGTGGGTCGTATCTAATTTATTGATAATGAATAACATGATTTATTTATGGGTTTGTCTCTTCTGCAGCAATAGCATATGAATTTTTTTGTAGCAAACATATTTACACATGCGGATTCTTACATTTAAAAAGAAAGAAAAAAGTGAGGATCCGTATGCGTAAAATAAAATCAAGAACAAGCTTAAAAAAAAAATAGAAGACCAATTTCTTGATGATTCTTTGATTACATACATTAAAAAAGAAATTGTTTTGAGTTTTAACACGGATTCAATTATATATGAGTTTAACAATAAGAAAATACATAAAATAAGAGTTAAATAAAGTGATCTTAATCTTTGTAATAGATTTCTTTTAATTTTTTTATATTAAATCTGTATTATATTTCAAATATTTTTGTTTATAATATAATATTTTTTATTTTCATCCCGATCATTAAAATTTTCAGGCATGAAGAAAAAAAATTTGCCAGAGTTCAAGACTCGGTGTCTTGGGAACTTTGGGATAGCTAAGTCTTACAGGTTTGCATGCGCTGCTAGCTGCTAGCTGCCAGCAGAAGAGTTAATTTAGTTTTGATGATGTCTCGTTGTTTGTTCTTTTTTCTTCTATCCAATCTACAATATTATACATTTGATTATGTCTCGTTGTTTGTTCTTTTTTTTCTTCTATCCAATCTACAATAATAATATATATATATATATATATATATATATATATATATATATATATATATCTATATATATATATATATTTAAAATGATTTGTCATATGAATAATGACTCGATCTAAAATTTGGTACTGTCAAAAAATCATAACTATGTATTACGGGTTATATATAGTTATAATATTAAAATTGTGTTTTTTTCTATCTATTTAGAAATTTAACTCTGTATTACGAGTAATAGATAGTTCTAATATAAAAGTTATTTTTTCCCTCCCCTACATCACCCGATAATTGATTGAAAAGTTATTGAGAGAGAGAAAATGTAGTTTTAATATTATAATTATGTACTACACATAGTATATTGTTAAATTTCTGAAGAGAGAAAAGAAAATATAACTTTAATATTATAACTATGTACTACCCGTAGTACACAGTTATAATTTTTAGATCCATCGAAAATGATGATATTCTTTTTTTTTCTTTTTTGTAAATGGCGGGCCCATCATGTGTGTGTCTGCATCTAACGGTTAAGATTTATTGGATCATATTAATTAATTAATTAATACTTTCTAATAAATTTTAAATATTAAATGCACGAAAATTAACGATTAAGATTTGATGTAAGGTTTGTTATTCCTACATAATAACATGCCCTATATATATATATATATATATATATATATATATATATATATGTATATATATATACATACATGTGACTGGATATAATGTTTTGTCGTGTCACATCCTTATAATATAATTATGTACTCCGAAAAATACATAGTTATAATATTAAAATTATTTTTTTCTCTTTATAATGTTTTCATAAACTTGTTTGCTGACGTGAAAAGAAAAAAACCTTATATATAAATTTTTAATATTACAGTCTTTTAATATTAAACCGCATATATATAAATTTTTATAATATTAATCCCCTAATATAACATTTTTAATATTAAACCCCTTATATATATATATAACTTTTTTAATATTAAACCCCATAAATATAAATGTTTAATAGTATGAGTACATAGTTATAAGTTATAAGAGGGTGACTGGACAAAACCTTATATATGGATCCTATATATATAGGGTAAAAGAATTCTTCCGCGACAGCAGAAGTGCTTTTCTATAGACTCAGCGAAATTTGTGTCATGTTATTTTTATTTTATTTTTTAGAAAAACGTGGTGGATATCCCACACTTGCTTCTCTCTGCGTGAAATTTGGATCCTCTCTCGAAAAGAATATGAAAGATGATTTCACTATGAACATGGCCTACCAAAAAAATATTTTCTTTTGTAGGATGATAGCTTTGAATATTATTTTATATTTTATTATTAGATTATTTATATTATTATTTGTAATGATATTCGAAAAAATACAAAAATTATTTGAATGGAGAGGCTATAAGCCATATATATATATATATATGGATATATATTATATATATTGTAAAATCATTTCCGCAATCTCTTTACGTATAACAACGATAGGTGTATGGTTATGATTCCCTATGTTTAATGCTTTCATCTTTTGTATGATTATGATTTTCCACATTTAATACTTTCACACACAGATATATATATATATATATGACAAGTATTTGACTGTTGCACGTACAACAGCTGCAGAAATATAAATCCCTATATATATAGAGGAGTTATATTTACAACCTAAATAGTTTACAAACTCTTACAACCATATCTTAACTATTGATTTCCGTCAATCAACGGTTGTCATTTATTGTGAATTAATAATTAATTAATAAATTTGATTTGCGAAAATCTTAACCGTTGATTGACGGAAATTAACGGTTAAGATATGATTGTAAGAAGTTGTAAAGGAAAATAGGTTGTAAATATAACGTTCCCCTTATATATATATATGGGAAAAGTGTGTATCATTTTAAACTATATAAAATTGTGTCATTTTAAGAGAGAGAAATAGATAGATAAAGGAGGAGAGAGAGTTGACAAAAATAAATAAATGTGTGGGTCTCATCTCTCTGTGAGAGTGAAAGGATATAAGTTGTGTCATTTAAAAGGATAAACACTTTTATCAAAATATATTTATATATATATATATATATATATATATATATATATATATAGGTAGGATCCTTTGACACCGGTGTCAAATTTTAAATTTGACACCTCATCTGAGAGCCATCAGATCAAAAAAGATCAATGGTGTCACATGCTTACAAATCAGAGTCGTTGATCTTTTTTGATCTGATGGCTCTCAGATGAGGTGTCAAATTTCAAATTTGACACCAGTGGCAAAGGATACTACCTCATATATATATATATATATATATATATATATATATATATATATATATATATATAGCTGAGACAATAAAATGGACACCATTGTTTTTTTTTTATTTTAAAAAAACCAGGTTCAACATGCGTATCCTGACTTGCTGTTGTATGTGGAGCGGCTGCAGAAATGATTTTGTCATGTGTATATGGAAAATGTGTTTCTCATATTGCAAGAATTCCTGCAATCATTTTTTAATTTTGTACTTCGAAAAATACATAATTAAAAGAAGATCAGCAACATTTTTGTAATTATGTACTTCCAGAAAGCATAGTTAACAAAAATAACTTTGCTAGAGAAGTACGTATTAAAAAATGATTGCAGGAATTCTGTAATATTAGGGTTGGCAAAACGGGCCAACCCGGCTCGACCCGACCCAACCCGCATTCAACCCGTAAAAATCGGGTCGGGTTAGGGTTGGCTCGAAAAAATAAACGAGCCAGAAAACTCAACCCAGCCCAACCCGAACCGGGTTAGGGTTGGCTCGATAATCAGCTCGCGGGTTGGCTCGGAAAAAAGCTCGCGGGTTGGCTCTAGGAGAAGGAAGAAGATTTTGAAGAAGAGAAAAAATTCTAAGTGTTGAGCGCTAAAACGTTCATCCAGAACGTTTTAGCGCCCTGCTACAGAAAGAAGCCAAAAGATGCTGGTCTGGAGCGCTAAAACGTCCATCCAGAACGTGTTAGCGCCCTGATGCTGGAAAATGATTCTGGTCTTCAGCGTTAAAACGCTCAAACCAAACGTTTTATTTTTTTTAATTTATAAAAATACCCAACCCGCGAGCTGGCCCGTTTAACCCGAGGGCTGGCTCGTTTGGGTTAGGGTTGTATCGGGTCGGGTTGTATCAGGTTGACAGCTCATTTAGGCCAACCCAACCCGACTCATTTAGGACGGGTTGGCTCGTTTTTGCCAACCCTATGTAATATATATATATATATTACATAGATATATATAATATATATCTATGTAATATATTATATATATTAATTGAAGGGAGGAGTGATCAGTTCTAAAAGTGACACATGTCCCCCAATTAAAATCTTAGATATGCTTAATTTCGTAGTTTCAGCGAGCACTTCACCTAAACTTTTGGCTTTACCGCCTGCCACCTTTTATTGTGATTGAAAAAGTTAAAACGACTGGGTCTCTTGTTTTAGTGGTCCGCATCTTTGCCCCCAAGAAACAACAATCCATGTTATCCACCTCACTTAATTATTATTCGCTGAAATTGACATTTTGGAATTTGTTATAATCATAATTCATGAACGATAGTGATTATCAAGTTAACAGACTCTAATTTGATCCACGTATGACCCCCATTGAAATCATTGTCTTATCATTTGATATCAGCAATGTTAAACTTCTTACACAGCTATTTTGGTCAATTAATTGTATTTAATTTTCATTCATTCCTCATCAACGGACTTTTCTTTCAAAAAAAATTATACAAGGTTTACTAAAAGTAATTTGACAATCTATAGCGAATGTTTCTATTTGTGGCCTAATACTTCGTTATAGACAACCAATGTTTCATCAATTTGTTTAGCCATATATGCATATATTTCTAATCCAAAATCCAGCCAATCTCAACAAGTATGTAGCAAAAATCTATTTTAGAGGATACATGATATTTAATTTCCCCTTTTGAACTGCTTAGGGTTAATGCTATAACTCTATGATTTTTAATTATCTTGTATCATTAAAGGTACGTATATGGTATAATGGGAACATCAAAAGCATTATTTGTTAAACAATGTCAATTTGGTCATCTGGTTCTTTGTATGTGTGGGTTTTCATCTTATACATGAAGACATGAACACTTTCTTTCGTAGCAACTACTTAATCAGCTTAAGCAGCAGAAAGTGGTATCTTAGAAAACTTGTAAAACTCATCAAATTAAAAATAAAAAAAAGGAAAAGCAAAAAAGAAAGAAAGAGAGAGAGAGAGAGAGAGAGAGAGGGGAAAAAAGAGAGCAAAAGTTGAGAAAGGCAACAATATTTTGAAGAGGGGCCAGCTATAGTTTCACTTAGACATGTTAGTGGAATCATATGAGGACAACGAAGTTGAAGTGGTGGTGTAGCTGTAAAAGCCAATTTCACTTTAAACCAAATCAGGGTTACCAATCACACCAATAGAATGCAATAGGTCAAAATCTTTCAAAATTTGGCACAAACACAAAATACATTAATTTGTTACCAAATGCGTTGTCTTTATACATACATTTGGAGGGTGCGCAAATATACAAGGCAAATTCTATTTAAAATATATAATAATATTAACTAGCTAGAAGGCATAGAAGAAGAGGCTAAAAGCAAGAAACTTGAAACTTGAAGAAACTAGAAAAGAAGAATTCAAGATTGATGAATAACAATATTAGCTTGGGTAAGTAAAAGAGAGAACAAAGCTTGATTACAACCCAAAATTCTGCAAGGTAGGAAAGTGGTAATTAATTCTAAATCCAAATATACAATATATTCTTTTGAGTACAAAAGGAGGTGTACGAAGGATACCGGAAGATTCCATTAATTGTTCCCCAGTTTGGTAGAGTATATACTAATTCGGATATTCATTCATTTTTTTATAATTTCAATTAACCATGAAAGATAAACACAAGCCTATATGCTTAAGCCCTTTACACAATCTTTAATTTTTCATGTTCTTAGAGTAGCATTTCCTCAGCTTCAATTATTCTCCTTTAAGAAAGGGCTCTGTTGACGAACATGCACGTTTATCAATTCCCTCAAGACCTTTGACAAAAAAAAGTGGAAGAAAAAAAAAGTAATAGTTGCGAGTAACCAAAACAAAGAATAAAGCTACACAAGCTAAAACAAAAATTCAGAATTTTAACAGAATTTAAGAATGATTATTGAAAAAATAAAGCAATTAATAAGAACTATACACACCCATCTTAAGAGTTAATAATTATATTATTTTGTTACAAATTCCGACAAAAAATGTTCTTCTTCGCCAATATTATTCAAGAGACAAAATTGATGGAAAAGAATTAAGCAGAGGAAAGTTATATAATTGATTCCACTCTATAATTTCTTCTTTTATTGTTTATAAGCAATAATTAAATTAAACACACAACATACAACATGCGACCTAAACTCCCACAAAGGAAACAACTCGGGATTATATGTCATGAAAATATCCAAAAATTAATGATTAACAACGTTGATAATCAACGATACATATTATTAACAGACGAGAAATTAAACTAATTAAACACCAAGCTAGGTTCATTAATCCTGCTTCCTCAAATCCTTATAGAACCTCTTAATGAACTCTTCCGCCGCCTTGTCGACCATGTTGTCCTTGTCGCCGTCGTCATCTCGGAGCGGAAACGGCGAGTCTGTCACCCTCAAGGGCCTCACCATTGGGCTCTTTCCGAACCCTGGAAGCGCAGGTGATGCCTCTACCATAGCCTCATTGTTTAGCATCTCCAGCACCGCCTTGACGGCGTTGACCGTGACGGCGTCATCGTCGTGGGTGGGTGGGGCATGAGCACAGGTGAAGAAATGGTTGTGGTTGTTGTGGCGGTGGCGCTTGCCTATGGGGAAGAAGTTGTTGGGTGTGTTGCTGCAGCTGAACTCGTACTCCCTTGAGGCAGAGAATTGTAGGTGTGAGTCATGGGAGCGGCGGCTTGAGGTGGAGCCACCGTGGTGATGGTGGTGGAACATTAGGTTGGAAATGGCTTTGCCGGCGAGCTTGCCACGGCGCTTGAGCATCATGTTGAGGTCCATCATTAGTTTACCCTTTGATATGCCTTTTCTTAACATGAAGAATACCACACGTACCATGCTCCACACTCTCTTTGCTATTACTGGTAGATTATTTTCCATTTCTATTCTTTTTTTTTTTTAATTGTTGTTTTGGTTTGGAATAATTTGAGAGAGAGAGAGAGAAGAGAGAAGAAAAGATGAATTGAAAGACGAGATTTGAGGAAGGGAGAGGGAGTTATTATATAGTGGGGGGAGTGGGGGGGTAATATCGTAATAATGTGTTGAATACACTAGAGAATTACTAAATTAAAGTAACCCGTGGGTGCAGACATATTTTGTATTACTTTATTATATTCATTTTATTATTTCTTTGATCCCATTATTATTTGTAGAGTTGGGGTTTTGGAGGATGGGAGGACTATTGGGTTGAATTGGAACCTGAAGGTAGCTAGGCTAACCATAATAAAAGGATCATCACGTGAGTTTGAGATGTTGTGGTGCATTCTAACACTCAATTACATTTTTTTAACAAAAAAAAAGTATTTTATAATTTTAATAACAGTTAGATATTTTTTTTTAAAAAAAAGTATAAAAAGTCAATTTTAATATTTTAGAAATATAAAATTTTGAAAAAAAGATAAACTTCTAAAAAATTATATCGTAAAAGTACGTATAATTTTTTTTATAAGTTTATCTAAATATACTCCAGGTTTTGGCTGTGATCTAACAAGCACGGACACGCATGTCGGACACGTGTCCGACACGGACACGATCCGACACGCGGTCAATATTTAAGGATACTCTCCGACATGTTTTGACACCTTTTTTCAACAATCAGTCAACTTTTTCCGACTCGCGATCAACTCTCGGACACGCTCCGACACGTTTTTTTTTTAAAATTTTATTTCATTTTGTTAACTAAATATTAAAGAAAATTTATAAATTAATTTTTTTCTATTATGAAATCTGACATGAAAAATTAACAAAGTACGAAAAATTATTTATATTTATATTTATGTTATGAAATTTAAATATTTGATTGGTTATATGATTTATTATGGACTCTTATATGTATTAAATGTAATTATATTATATATATTAAATTTTTTATTTAATATCAAAACATGTCTCAACGTATCGAAATATGACATTTTTTAGTATTAACATATCGACGTGTCGTGTCCTGTGTCTCATGTCCCGTGTCCGTGCATGATAGGCTGCGATTAGTGTCAAATTAGGCTGTTAAGTTTAATTCATGTAATTGAAATGAGTAAAAATGATGCTAACAAGTACCGTTAAAAGTTTTAAGAAAAAAATTACTCTTGGTTAAAGGCAGAATTTGAAAGTTTATCTTGTTTGAACTATATATATAATTTTAAAAAGGTTAGATTTAAAATACTCAAATTTTTAGTAACATTTTTTAGTTGCCTTCTCTCTATTGGAAGTCGACAATCACACAAATCGCAAACGAAAAGAGAAAGAATAGATACAGTGATTTATCCTGGTTCATATAATTTAGGTTACGTCTAACTTGTCTATACTATATTCACTACACTGCCACTCGTTACAAGTCACTCGGTTTACAAGGAGAATATAAATAAGATTAGAAAAATCCTAACAGTAGCTATTCATGGGCCCAAGCTCAAACTACTATGAAAATGAAAAATTATAATAAATTAGAGACCCCCAACAGTACTTAGCCTCTATACGGGCCTGAGAGCACTGATCCCCGGACTCCCAGTTACTTTTTCGCTGACCCCAACAACAAAAGCCCCATCAGCATGCGAAGTATGAACCATACCCCAACACCCTCCACTCTTGCATTATGTACAAATATCATATCCTTCATTTAACTAAATTAACGTTACTTTGATATATATTCATAGACTTAGAACTCCTTCTTCCATTTTCGTAAGGGGGCGTTTGGTAGAGGAAATTTTTTTTTAAAATCCGGGAAACAATTATTACTGAAATACAGTGAGAAATAATATGTTTTCCGGAATATTAGTAAAAGGTGTTTGGTATGGTAAAATTTTCTCAGGAATATATGGTTAATTTTACTGAATGTGTGTTTGGTTAGTTGTGAAATATTAGTAGGAAAGAGATGTTATTTGACGAAATTGACCTCAGGTTAACATTTTTTTTAAACAAACCACGAGATTAATAATCAAAACGTTGGGAGGGTATCTGTTATCCTGAATCTTAACAGTTGCCAACCGTAAAGAACGAAAGAGGATGGAAATTGTCTTCAAATTAATTTTCTAGATCTTCATTCTCTAATTTTTTTTTCCAGGAAACAAAATAATATAAAAATTAAAAAATTATGTCAAAAAAAAAATTAAAATGATTTCACTCTACCACCATACCTTCTGAACTCCATTCCGATGAAACCCAGAGCTTCGAGGGTGGACTCTTTCTTCCCGCGGAAATGTTATGTAGTCATGGCAAAGTTTCACTTGCCTGTATAAAGAGGTTCGTACTTGCTATTACTTTTTAAGGATAGAAAGGTCAAATTTCGCGCGCCTCGTGTTATATTTCCCCGTGATCGACAGAGTTCCAAGTTTTCAATGGACTTTCACAATTGATTTTTGTACTGTAGATAACACATGATAGGATTTGTCGGGAAAGATTTGAACTCTGGGTTTTTTTCATTTTAGACGAACTAAACATGGGATTCATTTACCTGATAACAAGTGCTATCCTGAGAAAAGAAAAAAAAAACCGGGTACCAAACACCTCCTAAAACAATAACATTGAAGAATTCTTAATTGCACGACTGTTACCTTTTTCTTTTTTTATATATATTACAACTCATGTTATATATATATTTTTTAAATTAGTATATAATTTATAAATCTATATAAGTTGGAAAGTGGAAACCATTAAGCCGCGACAATTAAAATGTTTTTGAGTATATGTCACGTAGTTAGTAAGTTGTAACGACAGAGCCACCTTATTTTTATTTTCTAATTAAAAAAAAATAAAGAAATCAATAAATTTCTAACTTATAAACAAATTAATAATATAAATATAAAAAGTAATAAAAAAGAAAAGAAAAGAAAAGAAAAACCTAAAGGAGAAAAAAAAAAGAAATAAGCAATTCTATTTTTTTGACAACTAAACTTGGTATACACAGTCACAAAGATGTTGTGCTTAAAACTTGGTTCGTCCATCAACTCCGCCAAGATCACGGGTTACGATTTTACGGGTCATTTAGTTGACCTAATTTTATATATTAAAAAATATAAATATATATTTTATATGAAAAATTTAAAAAAAATAGATCACCAATCATCAAAAATTCAAAATATACTCTATACCATAAATTTTTTTTTAAAATATACTTAACATAATTCAACCAATTACATCCACCAATCAATAAAAATAAAAAGTCATTAGTTTAAAAACCAATTCAGTGTTGCTTTTCTTTTGAAGTCATTGAGACTTAAAAAATTAATCAATTAAGTACTGGTTTTTCAAAATCTCAGTTATAACAAACACAATATTACAAAATTACTCCATTGAACCTAGTTAGTTATTTGGATTTTATAGTTTCACAAACATCACCATAGAAAACTACATACAACATTCATTATGTCAACTCCGTGCCTTCTAAATAAAAATTTGTCAACCCTTACTTTCATGATACATAGAGTAGCGCACTACACTAATTATTATAAACGGAAAAGGAGAAGTGGCAGCGTGATAAATCAACAGTGAGTGAGAAGAACATAGCACGACAGAGGAGAGGGAGAGAGAATACCGAAGAGGATAGGAGGAACCACACTCATAGCAGAGGAGAGATGGAAGAGCTCACAGGATCAGGGAGACTAGGTCTGGGAGAGAAGAAGAAGCATTCAGATTTCAAATATAGTTCTAGATTTAGGTGAAAATGAGATTTTGTTTTTTTACACAACAAGCGACCTCGTTTCGTGTGTATATATATATATTTTTTTAAAAATACAGTGACCTCCTTTGATCTGGAAGTCACTGACATCTGGCCGAATTTTGAAGGTCAGAGGGATCAATATGTGTGTAGAGTCTAACTGCTGACTCCAACTCTCAGATAGAAGGGGTTAGTGACCCGACGAGATCAATCTCATAATAGGGCAAGATTTTAAAACAATGCAAAGATGCTCAAAAGTCAATTAAAAAATGCACGAAAATTAGAGCCCTTGTAATTTTTCGCTAAATTCTTTTTATAATAAAGACATAGACCATATATTTGGTGTTAAACCTAAACATCTTGAGTTTTTTTTTTAACTATGGACCATATGAGAGGGAGACTTTTATAAATATCCAATAGTAAGTGCTTCTTTACTAAAAATAGAAAAGAATGAAACTAAAATAATATTAATCTTAAAAAATATGGGTAAAATAAGTAAAATTATGTGCATTACACTTTTTGAATTTTAATAAATAATATACTGAGCTTGAAAATACTTTCCTTATATGTAAAGAGTGCCCACCCTTTGAGCTAATTTTTGAGGTGGTGTATCCCAAGGTTCTTTATATTATATACGAAAAAGAAAGAAAGAACCAGAGCCTTTTTTATGTGACTTAGAAACTCTCCAAACTCCAATAATACCGAACCAAGCTTATCTCTTATTTGGTCGATATATGGGAGATTCTGGAAAGCTTCTTTTCTTTATTTGTTAGAGAATATAATATAAATTATTATAATATAAATCATTAAAAAGGCTCTCATCCAATAGCTTAAGGTTTTTGGTTGTAGTGACGCTTTAACATTATTATTTTTTCTTTTCAAAACACAATTATTTGTAGTAGTTTTGGTAAATTATTTGAACCGATGTATTTTATGAGAAATAAATAGTTAAATTATGCAAATCAGATTTAATTAAAAGAAAAATGGAAATCGAAGTTAACTTATAGTATGCCTCTTTTTCTTTGCGTGCATTAATTAATAACTACTTAACCATATAGAGTGTTCTACTTTTTTGCTGTCTAGCAACAACGTTTTCAACATTAAATTATATCTCTCTCTGATTTTAAACGTGATTAACCCTCCCTTTAACAGCATGGAAAAGCATGGGATGGAGTTAAAGTTTCACAAGTTGACCCTGACTAAAATTCCACATGACGAAAATCGAAGTGACCATGACGAAATATGCTTAATGCAGTTATATGCTAGACGACCTTTTTCCTAAGACTTATGTTTAAAGCTGATTTA